CGCGTCTTATCGCAACCATACCCTGTTTAAATGCAACAGGCCTTGTGATAGGACAGATCATAGCTGTGTGTATACATTAGGGTAACGCTGAATTGAGATATGACAATTTCTTGGGCGGCTGAGGATACAAGGCTCAATGGTGGGGAAATAAAGATTACATTATTTCCCTTTAACTTATTTGACATAGTGTCTATTTTTAGGCCTCTAAATATAGACTAAAAGTGAAACATTTTATTTGTTGAAAATATAGATTTTTTAGTGATCATTAAATGATCAAATAGAGCAAAGATTAGGTTCTTTAAGCACTCAATTTATAAAATGACGAATTTAGCGGAATATAGTTAAGGAGTCACTCCACTTTACAATTTCTAATCCATTGTTTCACTTAAGGGCTGTCTAAAGGCTTTAAAATTGGGATAGAATATTACGGTGAAGCTTTTAAAGTGTCCATACCGACCAAATACACGTCAAGCATGTGTATAAAAATATAAACGCGATTTCTTCAAGAATTATTTATTCAATCAGGCCACTGCAGAAACCTTCGAAAATAGAGATGAGAGACATAAAAAGGTTAGTTTACACCGAGTTTCTAAATTTTGTTTATTTGTAAAAGATAAAAATAAAAATAAAAAAACTTGGTTATATAAACTTTTTATATAAATTTGGAGTTATGTGAAAAAGGTGTGAATACAAAAGTTATACATCTTTTTGTTAGCTATAAGTTTAACATATAACTTTTTTTCTATAGTTTTGCCGGAAATCGGGATACAACGTTTTTATACCCTGAACAGGGTATATTAAGTTTGTCACGAAGTTTGTAACACCCAGAAAAAAATATCGTAGACCCTATAAAATATATATATAAATGATATACATATATATAAATAACCGTCCGTATATACGCGAACTAGTCCCTCAGTTCTTAAACTATCGAACTGAAATTTTGCACCTGTCTTTTCTTCACTAATAGGCTGCTCACTAAAGTGCTTGCGTGGAAAACTTTTTATTTGACGAGGTATATTCTCAAAATAAATCAGAATCAAGTACTTGAAAGGAACATTTTTATCTGTGAAGGGTTTTATGGCAGCGGGGCAACCGAAGTTAAAGTTTTTTCTTGTTAACTCTTAAAAATCAAACCTCCCCTTGTTCTTCCCAACCTCAGATCAACCACAAATTATTTTTCTTTTCATTCTTGTAATTTTATCCTATTATGATTTCTTTTGTTTGAAAAATTATATACCGGGGTCTATATACGGCCGATAAAACAATTCGTTCAATTTTCTTATGGTTGTTTTTAAATTTGTACAGTATTTTTAAAACAAGATTATCTAGAGAAAAGTGCTGCGATTCTTTATTTAAAACATATAATTTTTCAAAAACATTTTCTCTTCCAAAAACCGTTATTTTTTCTTAAAAATCCCTGTATCTTTCCCGAGGTTTTTGGTATAACACTTTAAATTCATAGACTTCTTAATCTACACATTTACAAAACTTCGCTGTCTTAAGACTTTAAAAGCTTTAGCATTCAGATCATAGAGCTAACAGAATCGGTCATAGCAAGAAAGACACAAATAGAGATTACAATAGTATTGCTTCGTGATTTTTATTAAAAGAGTTTGGCAAAAAATTTAATTAGTTCGTGACGTCTTAACGTCAAAATTTGTTTGCAATTATTATGAAATATTGAAGTTCGAGTTATATAATAATTTAAAGAAAATAATATCTTCTCCTAGTCTTAATGGTACAACACCTGAAATAGTCGCTTCTATCACCTTGCTTTTCCTGTACTACTCACCATTATGCTCCGGTTAGTGAAAAGCTATTGTTAGAGATCTTTCTGAAGCTTTAAATCTTTAGATATTTTTTTAATATTTTAAGATATCTCTCCCTAATGTGTCCACATTTGTACTCATTCAGATTAACTTTAACCTAGCAGCAGGTTCATATGTAGTCCCATCGGCATCAACGCAAATGAAACTCATGCAAGGCTTAAAATGCTGGCAGCGTAAACCCAATGGCTATGGTCGCCGGCAGACAGTAATTTTGTGAAATTATGTCGACACAAACACACTCACCTCCAACTGCCAACAAAGAAGAAGTGAAGAGAGCGAAGTCATGAACGCATACATTTTTGAATTATTGCTGGTCGTCGAGCTAAACTGTAGACAATAACAAAATGTTTTTCAATTCATTTGGACAAATTAAGATGCCAAAAGCCATGCATTTGTCGGCTGCGAAATAATTTGATGGCTTTGATCTCTGATCGAACTGCTAGCGTTAAAGCCACACGCAGACAGGCAGCAAGCAAAAAGGTTTTCCCGAACTCTTGCAAATCCTTAGTTCATACATAAAATACTTATGCCTTACACAGGCTTAATATGTAATTTATAAAGTTCAACACCTCTTGAAATAACCAAATTATTATTCCTGATTGTTGTCGGGTTGATTCTAGTTCTGGGCGACTAATCTAAGGGACAATAGAATGTAAAAAGTTAGTTCTCTTCATATAAGAGCTAATATTAAGAAGCGATATTCTACAATTTCAAACTGTTCGAAAAGTGAAGTTAGGAACTCATATTTCTTTCCCATAATCGTTTAGTGGCATGTCTTTTAACTATTCATTTCTTATTTGGAAATGCTAGTTGTAGAAGCAGTGTCGAAGAAACTGCTTTATAATCATCTCAACACCTTCTTATGGACCATTCCACATTCCACCAAGACTAAGTATTCGGTTCAAGAATGCTTAGGACTCTACCCATTCTACTACCCAGATGAGCTGGGGGAAATCGAAATGAAATACTCGAAGAAGATTTGTGTTGGGGCCCTTTATCGAAACCTAAGATCCAAATAAAGTAGGATTTCTGGTTGCAAAAAGGACTGTCTTTATCAAATTAAGTAAGATTCTCATTTTGGGAATCAGCCAAAGAACACTTCTTAACCAATTAGTACGCTCTAAATTCTATAGATAGATGAGTACTTCCTCCCTAAGTACTGAAATAATGTAAACCTGCTCAGTCAATTCAGAGCTTCTACATATAATCGAACTTCAGTAAGTTCACTCAACTACTCTTTACGGTTTAGCCCAACAGCCGGTTACCTTTTCGAACATCAACTCTTCATCTATATATGATACACATAGTTAATAAATCGGTCGATCATTTTCACCCAGAGGGTAGCAGTCCAGCGAGCTGCTTAAATAATTTCAAGGAACTGACAGAGAATGCGCCACACAACTTAAGTGTTTTACGCATTTTCTTCGTATACTCGTACATCCATACTATATCAGTTCGTAAACAAATGCACGCGGTTTGTTTATATGTATTCATGTACCTTGCGCAAGCGGAATGCGTCCGTTTCGTTGAAGCGCAGCAAATTACACAGCATTGCACATGCTCGACTTAATGGCTGCACACAGCAGGCAGACACACCGTTGAACGGACGGAAGCTCTGAGAAACGGTGGAGCTGTGCTCACCTTCGCACGAATTGTTGTTACTTTTCATATAATTTTCTTTTTTGTTTCAATTCTGGCACGCGGCTTAATGGATCGCTTGGTGTTCGCTTTGTCGCGCGGCCTGTGAAGCATTAGGGAACTCCACAGCGTCTTAGAATGAATTATTTTTAGTGGCTGCCGGCTCTTTCGAGGAATGAGCAGCCACAGATATTGCAAACGTGTGTTTTACTTTCTTGATTTTTACCTTTCGCATTTTAATTTGATATTAAATGAGTGTACATTCAGCTTGCACGAGCAGCAGGAAGTATTGCCGATTTTGACTAGTTACAAAACTAGCCGTTCAATATGTATTGGGTCTATAATTACATTCGTGCGTATGGCGTAACTTAATTATTATTCCACTGTCGCAATATTACGAACATTTCTTTGAAAGCTACAGTCCTTGTGTGTCTGTTTCAGTATACCATACATAAGTATGTCATACATTTGAAGGATAAACAACTAAACTTTTTCTCACTCAAATATGTCGAACTTTGCGCCTGAAAAAATGTATTTGAACTACCCTTCTTCATTACTTTAATATGAAGCCTACCTAATTTTGTCACCGACATTCCGCCCTTCCGTACCTACCGCCCTATCAATTCAAATTTATCAAAAGTGATGCCCGTAGTTGCAACGTAGAAATCAGTTGTTCTATTTATTTTCATTTAATAAATGTTGCCACAAGTTTGAAATTTCTCAGTAAAAAATTAAAAAAGTATAAGTACAAAGTCTTATTACCATATCTTCATTGGTCCTTTATACATATATATACTTGTATATTGTAAAGTTAAAGAAGTATATAGAATTTAAAATTATTAGTTGTCTAAAATTTTCACAAGGAAAAAGGCGATTGATTCCTTAGATATAAGATTTCACCGAAAGGAAGGCGTTGCCACGCTCTTGGTCCAATTTTTTCACCGGCCCTTTTGTATCATAAAGCATGTAAAATTAAATGTATTTATTTAGTGAGTTATCGCACTTTTAGTAGTTTTCAACATAACCGTTATATAGGGAGGGAAATCATTTGATTTTACCCATTTTCGCACTGTCGAAAGAAGGTATAAAAAAAGTTTCCCTGAGTAAATTTGGTTGATATAACTCTAGTGGTGTGTGAGAAATGTATAGTAAAGTTATAGATAAGAGGGTGTGGTCAAGCTTACTTTTTAAAAATTTTCAAATTGCAGATGCTTCTCTCTAATGCCGTTCGTTGTATTAAAATACAGTTTTATTTGGAATTTGGAACGGATCATTATCTAAGGCAATAATAGAATATCCGAAGAATCTGTTCAGATCGAATCACTACACACAAGCTGAATGATCGGAATCAAGTTCTTTTAAGGAACCTTTTGTATTTGTGAAAGGTATTATAGTTATCGCTAGCACAGGCGGCCGCACGAACGGACGGACAGATAGTCAGCTGGACTTCAACTCGTCCTGATCATCTATATATAGAGTCATATATTTATCTCGATTAGCTTTAGGTGATAAAGCAACCGTAGGTGAACAAAACTGTTATACTCTGTAGCAACATGTTCCGAGAGTATAAATATTTGTATGCAGAGTTGCCACCTGCATGGTTTAGAATTGCAAATTATAATTGTAAAGTATCACGATGGAATAGAAATTAAACACAAAGAATTCATAAAGCCACACACTTATGAGCAACTATATAAGTATGTAATTTATACAGACATACATATGTATAAGTACATATTAATAAAGAAATTCGCTTTGCAATGCAATTCATTAACTAAATTTCATCATTAATTTAAATTTTCCTTTCATGCAACCAGATGTGAGCAAGACAGCACAGAAGCCACATTTGTGCCGCCCGTTTTGAAGTGTATCGGCGAACCGATCAGCGCAGCACAGCAATCGAGATCGATGCTTCTGTAACAACAAAGCACACAAGACCAGGTAAGTTATTGTTCCATGTATGGACATATGTACATACATATAATATATAAAAAGCCAAGAAACAAATCATATATATATACATGTATTTGTGTATATTACTACTGCAGTCTAGCAACCAGACCAGCCGCCCAGAGCCAGATTGCTATGAGGATCAATGCGCATTCTCAGTCAAATTTTAATTACAAAGTTGCTTGCGCAGAAGAAGACGTTGCTTACAGTGTAGCGCAGACGCAAACTCTGCACAAATATAAAATTTAAGGTACCGGTCAAAAGTAGGAGAACTGATGGACTTCCGTCTCTACTGATGAATAAGGATTCGATTTAGTAGCCCTAAACCATGCTTGAAATCGTAGTCAAAGTGCTACGTAATTGGAAGGGAACCGGACCTGTATACGGTCTACGTTTATTGAACCAGCAGCACTCTCCTAAACTATTTTAAGTGCGGTTATGCAAAATTTCAAAAAATCGGCCGTTGGTTACAAAATATTCGAGATAACATATTATAAATGAACGATAATAGCCGAAAATTGTATTACAGGAAAAACTTGGACTGTACTTACTACTAATGGAACGAAAACGGAGTCAAGTAGACCTTTACTTTCTTCCTCATGCATTTTGTTCAAGGGATATAGTTTTTTTACGATACATTTCCCTTTCTAAATATGAAAGAAATACCACGTCGGCTTATAGCAACTGATAAACATATACCTTTAGCAATATTGGCAATATTTACGATTGCTAAAACAATTGATCAAACCTATTGAGCACATTGGAAAAAGGATCAAGAGGCCTACTTAAGCTCAACCCGAAAAAGTAATAATAGCTTCTATTTAATCTACATATTTATCTGCTAGTGACGTGTGGTTTAAGCTATTCGCCAGAAAATAGTTTTCTTCACAAATTCGTTGTAAATAATTTTTTCAATTTTATATGAAAACTTCCCACAGTACAGCCGCAGAAGACCGATTGAGGCGAACGAATTCGAACAAGTGCCCAACCCTGAAAATGACTATTAACACAAGTACTCATACCGGTACGGCTATTTGCATCGGCAGACAGACTAACCGCCTTCCTGCACTCCTTCTACCCTTCAACGCTACCATGGTCCAACGTGTCAGTATGCATCTTCAGCTTCCTTCGTGGGCATTTCGAAAATCGCGCACGTTTTTATGAATTATTACCTTGGGGGGCGGTACGATTACGATGCATTTACATCGTCCCGGGTGTCGGTAATTATAGGGAGTTTATGTCTGAGGCTTCATTATGTTGCGTTTTGTTATACTTTGATTGCTGAATTAAGTTGAAACAGCACAAAGGTAATCGCAGCCACAACACGAAGCAAAGAAACAACAACAGAGCGAATGAAAAATGTATTGTGGCGAATATACATGTAAAGAGTATGGCCAAAGAAAATATGAGCGAAGCGAATGCGTAACGAATCACTTCGAAATGCAGCGGGAGAAACACCGAGAAAAGCGCAGGAGAACGAGTTTAGCCATGACTAAAAATGATGCTTCTGCAATTACGGCACTCTTTTTTGGTATCAAAGCATTGAGTTTTGTGCTTTTTCATGGTTATGGGTATGGCAGAAATATGATGTATGTATGTATGACGATATGTACAATATGTGGAACTCTAGACAATAGACCATAATTTCGACAAGAAGACTAATTCGAAACCCGCAAAATATCTTTAGATATATTCGTAAGAGATGATTTCATCGTTAAGATGTAAATTGTACAAATTAAATGAGATGCTCTCTCAAATATATCTTTAGAGCATAGTTTCCTTTGACCGTTTAGATAACAGTCGTGTTTACGAACTTTTATCCAGCCAGGGACTCTCAACTTGGCAGAATTTTTTTAAATAAGCGCATTAAAGAAGCCTAATAACGCGCTTGTGATAATAACTGCAGTGTGCTGCCTCTGCAGATACGTCTTTCAGACGACTTTGCTGGTTTTTCTTGCAATTGCTTGGTCTTTAAAGTGACAGTTTTCTGTCGAACAATTTTCAAATTTGTGTGAGACCTCACACTGCAGTGGCTTATAAACATCGCTTGTTTGAATCTTTGCAGGCAAAAAACAACTTCGTTTGGCAAAGTCCAGAAATTCGTAGCCACTATTGATCTTCTTTCACCTTTACATCGGTAAAGCTGTTAATGGTGTGTCTGAAGTTAGTTGCGTCTGTAGTCTTGTCGGCGTATTGTTCAATGTCGTCGACGTAAACGTAGACTACCTCTTACAGTATGCTTGAAAAACTGCCATTGTCACACCGATTGTTTAGTTATTTATTTCACTATCCCAGCATCAATTCCTTCCGCTATTTTCGAGAGGTCGGTATACCACTGGAATTACTTTAGTGCTCAGAATTCTCAATTTGTTCCTAAAGTTCGTAGTCATGGTAATGTAGTCTCTAGGAATATCTCCTATTTAATGGCCCACAACTTCTGAACAGTTATAACTTTTCAACATATTGTCGAGATGAGGAAGTTGTCGTAATTCTATATACATACATATATCATCCTGGGACTGATCCTGGAAAGTGTTCCCCGAGATATTGGCTGTGGTTAGCCAATACAGACTTCTTGTCCGTAATGGTTCTACGTCATCAAGCTATTGAGTAATCAAACTTGTCTCTTAATCGACGAGCTATGAAACGTCAATTAAAACTCGCAAGCGAGTTTCGCGATTAATAGCGCTGATAATTTAAACTGCAGAAAGCGCGATAGTAAAATACATGTATACACGAATACAACCACAACATTATCTCTCATAGCCCATAAAAACTTGCGCCCCACATCGCTGCTGTCGCACGTAATTTTAATTACAATTAAAATGCATTTATTGTATCCGTCAGATAAGTGCGGCAGCCACGTTGCAAGCACTTTCAATATTTGCTTTTCACAGTTGTTGTTGTTGCACATGGCGGTGCGCGTCGTCAACGTCATTGCCAATGATATCGGCTTGACGTTTCGATGGTAATGCCATCGGTTCTTTCATCAACTGCCGCCGATCGCATGGCCGCATCCAGCCGTGACCAAAGCCAACCTACTTGTATATATGTACAAATACATATGTATATACAAACACTGGCACACACTCGTGTGAGAGTAGTTGGGTCTGTCATATGCTGCTTTTCGCTCGCAACAGATTAGCTTTGTTTTTCTGCATGTATTCCATCTTTGCTTTTCGCAGCACACATCTACATACATATAGTATCCACAAATACGTGTGTATATGTATACATTTCTGTGGCACATACCCAAGCTCTCGTTGCGTTTGCACTTATGATGGGCGCATCCTTTCCCATGAAACTTTTGTTGCATTAAAACGCGACCGCAACAGAAACGTTCAAGTGGCGTTGGAGATAAGCGCCGATAAGATGTTGCATGCTTATCGCGCTGAACGGTCCACTCAATTGCATTAGCAAACTGGCAGCACATTGCAGCAATTAAAAGTGGCAGCAATGCCACTTGGTCAATGGAAGAATTATTACAAGCCTAAGTGACTGACAGCAGAGAACGTATATCATACATATAATAAATGCTGACAGGAAGTTCCACTCAACACTCAAGCATAAAAGAAAGTGATGTTTTGATAAAAATATGTATGTTTGTACATATGTTCCAAAGGATTGCAAAACTTGTCGGAGCTATAAAAGTTTTAGTCTACCTGAATCCCTATAAATAAAAGCGACACTCAGACCAAGGCTGATGTAAGAGTTCCTAATGGATATTTAGTTAGCTGAAATGAAATTTCGTCGAAAGCAGACAAACAGTAACAGCAATAGCTTGGAGAGTGCTACACTTGCTTAACCTTAAACATCCTGAAATATTGTTTGTTTGCAAGAAATAACACTAATTTTAGAGTTTGAGTGATTTACCACCTTCTCTCGCAAAATCTGGTTTTATATCATTATAAAAATTTAAATATATGGTTGCTTATATGTCATTACCACAAAACTTAATTTTCAAATGTCAGCGACTAATTTGTTATACGTGCAGACAACTTCACACATAGGTGGTGCGCAATAGCACAGGGTGCACAACAATCATTATTTACTTGATATTGTAATTAATTTTATTTTAGTTACTTTTACTTATAGATTTCTATGAAAATTATACAAAATTATATATATTTCAACAACTTTTAATGCCACTACAACTGCAATTTATAACAAATAAATTTAAAACAGTTTAAATAAATATAAAAAAAAGGACAGATTTAACTCCCCAGCAATACAATACCGTATTGCTTAAGGAGAACGTAGATTTTAAATAAATTTAAAATAAATAAATCTACCTTCTGTGCTGACACGCCAAATAATTTTTGACATCTCTTGATATTTGACAGTCACATTTTGTGAAAATTTTAGACAATACAAATTGGAAAGAAATTGGAGTTCGTTAATTAGAAAGTGATATTTAGTGTATCCTAGCAATATTATAAAAGCTTAAGAAAAGATTCAAGAAACTACATAAACACTACAAGGTAAATAAATTGAGATTAAGTCGTCGCGTAAAGTTTTAGAGTGGAATCACACTTTTCGAAACGTGCTTCTTGCAGAAGAAACTAGGACAAAGAGTAATACTTGTTCGGGTGTATGTTTAAAATGAGAAAACGTTGTATTGTACGAGTATTGCATCCAAAAACAAAGAAATGAAAACACTCAACGTTAGCTACAATTTGATATTGCGGAATGTTGGTACTACAAGCGGTGCATTAAATCACTTGTCAACCCCTTCTCCCCTTAATGTGGGTCTTGCACAAAGTTTGATGTATTGTCGTTTTTATTCTTTTGTTAATTTTATTGTGCCGACGTATTTGTTGTATTATTTGTGCAGACGTGTGATCTTAACCTCAATACCGAGAAAAATTCAATTTGTGACATAGAAAAAATGCAATTTCCTTTAAATGCACACATATTAACATGTTTTTAGAGCAAACCGTAATATTTTATAATAACATGGATAGTTTTAGTCCACCTTTACCCTATCATTTTAATTATTCACAGAAAAACTATTATTTAGTTATGGTTAAGAAGAAACGTCAATCCGATGTGCATGATGATGGTTCATCGACAGATTCATCTGAAGGCGCACTGCAGAATCCTACATCAGGCGTTGGAGTTTGTCAGCATGTGAAAAAATCTGTTGATCCTACAAAATTGCGCAAAGTACTAAAGGCAAGTGGTCTTGTCGCGGATTGCATGCAATGCTCCAAACAAGGCGCTACTTCACCTGCTGCGGAGGTTAAGGAGTCAATTCTGGATGATTCGCTAAGCGGCTTCGAGTATGACACCACACTCTGGCTATGTCTTAAGTGTGGTTCCCAGCTTTGCGGACGGTCAAGGAATCAGCATGCTTTACAGCATTACAAAGTAAGTTATAACATATGCAAATACATTTATGAAAATAGAATTTACTCAACTGTACCTTTGTATCCCTTAGACACCTCACTCCGACTCACATGCGCTCACCATGAACACCCGTACGTTTGAAATATGGTGTTACGATTGCGATAACGAGGTTAAATCAAATTCACGTAAAAATCTATTGGAGTGTGTCGAAATGGTAAAAAAGGCTGCGCAAAAACCAATACCCATTGCATCACCCACGGAAAACACACCACTTAATAACATAGAAGGAAAGATACTGTCGACTTGGGAATCTTTACGTCCATTAGTTGAGACTCATGCGGTGAATGCAGCAAATAAACCAATACCGCTGCCGCCGCCACCACCGCCACCTATACCTGGTATGGCAAAGCGAATAACAGATCCAGCCATGCTATCCGCACCTGTAGTTACCAATAGACAAGCCAACACAAATGACCTGCAATCTATAGAAATCTTGCCGCGCGTGCGTGGCTTAACAAATCTGGGCAACACTTGTTTCTTCAATGCGGTTATGCAATGTTTGGCTCAAACACCCTATCTGCTAGATGTGCTCAAGGAGCTGTCAGAGCCCGGCGAAGAGTAAGCACGAAAATTGAAGTTTACATATTAAGTATTACAATAATATTTTATTTCCAGATTCACTTTACCAGGCGGTACTTTTAAATTCAAGGACGACGAGGATGTGCACTTGCCAATGATCAAAGGTACCTTGTCATCGTGGGGTGGACTTACAGCGGCACTTGCGCAGGCTTTGGAAGAGCTGCAATCAAGCGGTTCGTATATATTTTACAAAATATTTTTTATAGCCAATAATTTTTCAAATTTGTTTAAATAAAACAGGTGGCGTTTTTACACCCAGCAAGCTTTTCGATAAGCTTTGCATAAAATGTCCACAATTTCGTGGCGGCGATCAGCACGATTCCCATGAGTTACTACGTCATTTACTTGAGAGTGTCAGGTTAGTGTAAATAATATTATTGGCTTTTTATGCTCTAATCTTCTCCCCATATAGATCTGAGGACTTAAAACGCTACCAGCGTGTGATTTTAACCAATCTGGGCTACAAGGATCAAGATATCAATAGCGTATCTGAGGAAATGCGCCAGAAATGTAAAATATACGGCAATCAAGCAGCTGATCGTATACTCCGCCCCGAGCAAGTATTCCGCGGTTTTTTGGTGTCCACGCTTACTTGCCAAGATTGTTATAATGTGTCCTCACGGCATGAGTACTTCTTAGACATGTCATTGCCAGTTAGCGTTGAAAAGCCACAGCCGCCGTTCAGACGTAAAACCAGCCCCGATAATTCGCCAAACACAAGCTCATTTTACTTAAACACACCGCCTGCCGGACCCTCCAAAGCGCAACTGAAAAAGGAAAAGGAGAAAGAGCGCAAAGCAAAACGTGCCGCCAAACATCACGAAAACAAATTGAAACAGAAGGCAATATTAGAGAATACGACGGGCGCCGCTAACGAAGTTGCTGAAACAACGGCTATCAAAATGGGTTGTGCTAGGCGTGAGGACGGCGCGGCATTTTCTTCTTCGGCTTCTTCTTCTGAACAATCCGATGCTGACATTGAAGACAACCTGCTCGATGACAACACGGCCACGAAAACAGCGCGAACTGCAGGCATCAACAGTTACGACAGCAACGGCAACAAGCAATTGCCGCGCACTGGCAAATCGGAGAAACGCGACGACTCACCTGAGAATATGGACAAAGACTCACTAGATGAAGATGAAAACGGTACAAACATATTCATAAATAACGCTACATTATTTACTTTGCTATCATTTTTTTTCGCACAGATTCAGGTATCGCCAATAGTCCCGCCAACACAGGCAGCAACTTTTTGCCCTGCTCCGAAACGAATGGCGGTAGCGTTGGCGGTGATGCGCATGCCGTAACTGCGAACAATAGCTTATTAGCAGTTGGTCTCAGCGAGAAGGGGGCCACGATGATGCGACAACTTTCCCTAACCGATGCAGCCAATGCGGTCAGCGCGGCAGGCATTTTCGTGAATGGCGAAATGAAAGATGAAGCAGCGCTTGCTGCACAACTGGAACAGCTGAAACTCAGCGAACAAAAGGCAGCGCGCATGAAGGCCAAACGCGTGCGCACTCAAAGCCATTCCGATTGGAGCACGACCATTGCACCGCGTTACCAATGCGAAGACGGCGAGTGCTCCGTACAATCATGCCTGAATAATTTCACCGGCGTTGAGTTGATGACGGGCAACAACAAGGTTGGTTGTGAAAATTGCACCAAACGCATTAATGGCAGCGATCCGAAAGCCAAGACCGTCAACACGAATGCGACCAAACAGTTTCTAATATCTAGTCCGCCAGCTGTTTTAATACTACATCTGAAACGTTTCCAACTCGGGCCGCGCTGCATATTCCGCAAGCTAACACGCGTCGTCAGCTTCCCCATGGTACTGGACATAGCGCCATTCTGCGGTTCCAAAGTAAAAAATTTGCCAAATATCGATCGCAAACAAAAGAAACTCCTATACGCGCTTTACGGCATTGTCGAGCACTCGGGCGGCATGTACGGCGGTCATTACACCGCTTATGTGAAAGTGCGTCCGAAACTTTCGCGCGACGACAAGCGCTGGAAATTCTTGCCACAAGGCAGCAAAGCCGAACTCGATCAAGATGACGAGCAGCGCAAGAAACTCGAAGAGCTCTTAGCCAAAGAGAAAGCACGCGAATTGCGCATGAAGGCCGCCAACGACAGCGATGACTTCTCCAACAGCAGCGATTGCTCATCGACAACAACAAGCTCTTCCGATACTGACGAGCTGCCCGACACCCCAGCAGACACAGGCGGCGCTTATGGCGGCGACGATGAGGCGCGCGATGTGCAAGTGCCCATGGGCAAATGGTATTACGTGTCCGATTCACGCGTACAAGAGGTCAACGAGGAGGCGGTGCTGCGTGCGCAAGCTTATCTGTTGTTCTACGAACGTATTTATTAAAAATATTCTACTGAAATTTTGCAACAAAACAGAAAAGAGAAAATAATGAAGAAAAATAGACAAGCAACGATGTTGATAGTCATGCATTACTCGTAGTATGATGACCATAACCACAATAAATGCGTTTTTGACAGGCGCAGTGTGCACTTCAATTTAAGTGAAACAAAAAAAAAACAATACAATACAATAATGTAATAACGCTATTAAAACAGCGATTTTGAAATTATAAACATAGTTAGGCTAGAAAGTAGAAAGGCAAGCAAACAACAAACGCGAAAAAGCCGCAGTAGCAGCAACAGCAGTAAGGCATACATACAGCACGCAACTAGCGGCCGTAGTGCCAAGCCAAGCACGACACAAATGTGTGCCACATAATTCATACAAACATACAAAAGTCTTTACCACCAATAACTGTGTGTTGTGTCAAGTGTAAATTAATTCGCAAAAAGCGCGCGTGTTTTGAGTCAAAACAACTCGCTTGCCCACACAAACAACGCGTTGCATAGTTAACCGTTAATTTGTTTGTGTCAACAGTTTTGTGCAGTATTTTTGCCGCATGCCTTCTCCGCAACAACGTTCTAAGTTCTTACTTTAGTTCAAGTATATCTATATATATATTTATATTTTGCTTTTAAACGGGTATTAGGCAGTTGTATATATGCACACACACATACATACATTCATACATTTATAATTATGCATTTGTTATACTTACTTCTATTCTGCTAACACCGGCACTTTGTTGTTAATATAATATTTGAACATTTATTTGAAGCAAACATACCACTGCTGACAGTGCATTTCTAAATATTACACTAACTAAGCGCATACATACTTAGAAAATGTGGTGAAGGTGCATATACACTTGTAGAATATTTTATGGAACATTTGCAGTTGCACTCAAATGTAGCAGAGCACGTGCGTCGCTTGCGCGGGTGGGGTTGTTAGTTAGTTTGTGCGTGTTGGCGTGCAGCAAGTAACTGTTTATGTGTAATGATAACGAAACGTTTTAATTAAATGATAATGATAAACAGCTGTATTGATGCGTGTAATCACTTTGATTACTGCTATACCATTATTGCATACGTACGTATTTCAAATACCAACTAAATAAAAGCAAAAACAAAAAGAATTTTGAATAATACTTATAAACTATGCGTAAATAATGAAACGATCTTGAAAATAAATTATTATAAATTTTATGAAAATATATGTTTCTTGTTGTAATGCTAATCAAGCATTGCAAAAATATTCTGGAATGAAATAGTTGGAAATTGAGGTAATTTGGGTAAGCAACTTTTTTAATAAATCTTTATTTTTTAGCTTAGAGATGAAAAAAAGCAAAAATATTAAAATTGTGAAATCTTATGGAATTACATACATATTTCATAACTCTTTTTTATACTCTTGCAACATGTTGCCACAGTACACCTAACGGTTGTTTGTATCACGTAAAACTAATCGATATAGACATAGGGTTGACGAGTTAAAATCCGGATGTCTGTCTGTCCGTCTGTCTGTCTGTGCAAGCTATAACTTGAGTAAAAATTGAGATATCGTAATGAAACTTGGTACATGTGTTCCCTGCCAAAAAGAGTGAGGACGAGTTCGTAGATGAGCGTCATCCGACAACGCCACGCCCACAAACCGCTATTGATCGAAAACCTAAAAAATTACATTCAGCACGAAATTAAGATTTAAAACTGTAATTTGGTACAGGGGATTGCAGTAGCAAGAAGCCCGTTACCATGACAGTCGGGTGTACGTAACCGGAACGGACCCGGATTTTTAACCGGCCAAGGACTGTCAACTCGCCAGAATTCTGCCGCTACAACAACAATAACAGCAAGAAGCACCTGTGGGCTAAATATGTAAAAAAAAAACGTTCGTCTATCGACAGTGTGAAAATGGATAAAATCGGGTGAAAAGTCCGTCCACTCCCCATATAACGGTACTGTTAAAAACTACTAAAAGCGCGATAAATCAAACATTATATACGCTAGAGACATTCAATTTTATGTCTGGGGTATGAGATGTCTTTATAGGAACGGCTTTTAAAATTAGACAGTAGTTGTGGCACCGCCCACTTTAAGGTTATATCCCATATCTTGGGAACTGCTTAACCGATTTCAACCGAGCTCAGTACATAACATTGTCCCCATATTTCTATGTTGTAGTGCGAAAATGGGCGAAATCGGATTACAACCACGCCTATTTCCCATATGACACCATATTAAATTCCACTTGATTCTTTCACTTTCCACTATGCAAATCAAGCAACAATGGTTGTATCGGTGTAAAATCTGGCGTGAATAATTCGTTTAAAGTATGCCACCTTGTGACCAAAAATTGTCTAAATCGAACCAAAACTTTTCAACCCCCTAAGTACTAAATATGTGGACCCCAGTGCCTATAGTTCACTTTTTACCGAAAATATCGGTCAATGTGTAAGATTTATAACTGAAATTAATATATTAAAATAAATAAATAAAACTCTCGATAAATGGATGTTGTTGTGCCAAAAATGGGTTGAATCGGATCAATACTTCCTTTAATATACCGAAACCTTACGTAATTTCTCTTGCAAGTTACGAGAGTATAAAATGTTTGGTTACACCCGAACTAAGCCCTTCCTTACTTGTTTTTTTACATGTTTATAATTTTTCTATAACGTTTTTATACTTTTTAATAATTTGTTATAAAGCATTTCAAAAAACTACGATATTCGGGCGTACATGACCGTAGCGGACCCGGATTTTTATTTGGTCAAGGACTGTCAAGTCCGTAGCTTTCCTCAAAAAGTTTTTGATTGGTTTTTCTGCCTTTTATACAACAACAAAATTTCCAATCAAGAATTTTTGATCAAGGCCAGAGAGGGTTGTACACCTTCCTTTAGTGAGCGCTATGAAATCAAGAAGCAGGTAATTCTGTTTACATAAAACGACAGTATCTGTCTGTATTCTGAATGGGGACCCACAAAGAAGAAGGAAGGTGAAATCACAGTAAAATCGAAAAACAAATTGCAAATCAATTTGCATCGACAAAGATGGTACTTTAACGTTAGAGTAACTTCGGTCTAGTTATACAAAATTATTTAACTCAAGTACGCTAAATTGGAAAAGTGATTCCATTGCTGAAATAAGTTTATCTGATCCATTTCAGTCAGGTATAACATAATCAAAAGATGTAGCCATCTAATACCTAATCTGACGTTAAGACATCAGATGTTATGTGAGTCCGCGTTGATACTCTGAACTCTAAGGCTGCCTCTGGCTACGAGCGACCAAAAGAGGTACCTATGATATTCTATGGAACCTACAGTTCACTTTCAGTCAATGTAGTTTACATTAAGAATGGAGATAAAGTGCTTTTCGAGTGTGAGACTACCAGTCTAACCATAGACCAGTCGTGAGATTAGTTTCTAAAATGCTTTTTTAGACAAAATAACAATTATATATTATATATTATTTGTAGTTGAATTTAAAGGATTGGTGTTAAAGATTCAGATGAATTAGTTGTTCAACCTTTTTACATGTACAAGGAAGCTTGACCTCGAAACTGAATTTTGAGTTTGATATTGTTTTCGGCTCGAATCTGGTAAAATTCTTCATTTTATGTGCAAAATTAAGGCAAATCAGCTCCTGAAATATAACAGCGAGAGAATATGGTCTCAAAAGAGATTATTTTTGATTAATAAAAATGTGGACTTACATTGAATGATTTTGCTGGCTTGAATGCATTGGCAATATAGTGTTGGAACAACTGACAAACAAATTTGTCCGGATCTTGCAGGCCGAGCTGTTGTATTTCAGATTAAGATTTCAATCAAGCTCTCTAAATTAATCAAAAACAAATCACCTTGGGTATGGGATAAGGCGTTGGACTGTCAACCTGATTGCGGAACTCATCAATGACCATTGACGCCTTACACACATCATTCTCCCACATGCCCTTCTGTATTTGACCAGTATGCATGTGGTAGTAGGTGCCCTCACCATTCTTGAAACCTCTCGCAAAGTGTCCCTCATAACGATTGCCATTTTCTAACAATAAACAATGAAAAATAGCGCAAAAATTTCAAATACACAACTGACGATAAAAGTAGACACCAATGCCGTGCTTTACGTCTGCCTCCCATTCGCCCATATAAATGGCACCATTTTTGTACCACATGACACCCGGTCCATGACGTCGATTCCTCTCCCACCAACCATAGTAGACGCCATCACGAAAAAACTGCTTGCCCTCGCCCCATTTCATGTCGTCACGCCATTCGCCCACATATAAGCGTTCGGCCGTGCCATTCGGCAGACGATAGCGCATTGTACCGTAACCGTGACGTTTACCGTTACGCCATTGACCATCATAGATGAAATGCTTCTGCGACTCCTTAACGCCATAGCGGTGATGTTGATTGCGTAACCAGTAACCCTTGTAGATGCCGCCGGCTGGATAAAAAAAGGCTGCTCGCACGCCAGTGCTCTCGGCCTTGATGTTGTTCTTGCGTTCACAAGTCTGCACGCAGCCGCCGTGCGGTTTGTCCCATGTGTTACATTGCGCCATTACCATGAATCAGCGGAATTACTCTAATAGATATATCAACAAAAGTAAAAAGAAAGTTCCATCAAAAAAAGAAATTAAACAAAGTGTTTGACGTTTCTAGAAGGAAAAATAAAAGCGATACAGATATGATCGGTTCGAAGTTGTTGTTGAGCACATTCTTCGAAAACATTTGACGAATACGAGTATACAGGCCGTATAAAATTCCGCATGTTTTCCGGTTGAACCGACTGTCGAACGGATCAGCTCGAAATGAGAAAAAAATATTTCAGTCAGAATCCCAGTGGGTGGGATCTTTTGAATTCAGGATTGAAATAGGTATGGGCGTAGGTTCACCAGATTAAGAATATATATACATACATATAGCTGGCGCAGACTTACGGTTTTTGAGACATTTGCATTTTAAAGTTTCAAGCTCAAAAATTTGAATGATGTAATTCTAAAATTTACACACCTTTGTAAACCTGTATATTTCGTATATTAACCCGAGTTAGAATATAATTTCAGAACAGGTGGCAACTGAATGTTGACGAATCCATTATGGAGTTAATATCCTATTAATTTTGCATCGTTAAACTATTTTAGACAAAAACAAGTAAGGAAGGGCTAAGTTCGGATGTAACCGAACATTTTATACTCTCGCAAAGTCAAATGGTATACTCGTTTGAGATTTCTTTGTGGATTGACTGATATTTTCGGTGGAAGGTCAACTATAGGCACTGGGGTCGACATAGTTAGTACTTAGGGTACATATTTAGTGAACGCGGTTCTTATAAAGTCATCTCATACCACCTGAGAGATAAAATTTAATGTCTCTGGCGTGTTTAGTGCTTGATTTATCGCGCTTTTAGTAGTTTTTAACAGTACCGTTATATGGGGAGTTGACACCCGATTTCAACTATTTTCACACCGTCAATAGAAGTGCTAAAAACATTTGCTTCCAGTGAATTTTGTTATTATAGCATTAGAGGTTTAGGATATATGCACATTAAACCTTTTTTAAAAAAAAATTTAACTGCAGATGCCCCTCCCTAATGTGATCCTGTGTACCAAATAACAGTCTTGTATCTTATTGCGGAGCTTAGTTATGGCAATTTATTTGTTTTTGATTAATGGCGTTTTGTGGGCGTGACAGTGGTCCGATTACGCCCATCTGCAATACCAACTGTCTCACGATATCAAGAAACATGTCTACCAAGTTTCATAAAGATATCTCAATTTGTACTCAAGTTACAGCTTGCACGGACGGATGGACGGACAGACATCCGGATTTTAGCTCGTCTCATCATTCCGATCATTTATATAAATATAACCCTATATCTAACTCGATTAGTTTTAGGTGATACAAACAACCGTTAGGTGAACAAAACTATTATACTCTGTAGCAACAGGTTGCGAGACCTGCCACTTCAGTAAGCGAGGGTGATACCTTGCTAAAATGGCTGGTAGGCTAATATCACAATCGCCTCCGTCTCGTTAAAACCCTGGCAGGTCTTCAAGTACGTTCAAAGCACGTCACCATTAAACTGGTCGTACAGGTTCAGTTGAGAGAACTCCTGATTAGCGTCCGGCTGGCTCTGAACACAATCTCTCATGAGGACTTGTGTCAACCCTCGCGTGATCTATGAACACTCAAAACCAAAATCAAAACAAGAAAAACGACAACAGCGAAAGGAAATCACAACAAGAGGAACAGAACAACAAAAACGACGAATACAACAATGTTTTTCGTAGAAGCAGCAGGGTTCTGCGATCGCCAGTGTCACAACTAACCCCAGTGACCCAAAAGAGCGCGAATACCCGCCAAGAAAACTTGGTACCGACCGAGTCTACAACGACGATTTTAGCTGCAATCCTGGAAAGACCAATGACGGAACACAAAACTCCAACATCGGCAAAAATAACCTATACCCCACAAAAGTCCCCGAGACAGGAGTTCGTGCACAAAATGCGACTGGCAAAAGAAGAGTCCCTCGAAAAGTGCAGAGCCATCGTTCAAAAAATGAAGCAGGCAATGGAAGAGCTTTTCGACATCATTAAAAGCTATCTAAGGAACTGGATGATGTCAGAGAATAAACCGTAGCCTATAGCCGAAACTAATTATCAACCGATGACAACGCCCCAGGCTACTACATTCAAACGACGGGCCACCAGCCCTGCAGAAACACGCACCGCTACACGTCCCCGAAAAGGAGAAGCCGAGCAGTGGAAAACAGTGATGCCGAAGAAGCCAAGGAAACTCGACGAGCGTCAAAAATCGACAAAGGGCTCCACAAAAACTGGCGGCTCAAGAAAGCCATAGAAAAGGCCAACGCCAAAATCAGGCCAAAAAGACTCTCGGAAGCTGTCATTATTAAGCCAACAAAAGGAAGCTGCACTTTTACTGGAGCTAGAAAAAGGCTAGGTGGCAAGCCCGAATTTCTTCGAATCTCTTAAGAGTACATTAAAAGAGAGCGCATCAGTAGCTGACCTTAAACCAAAGACCACAGTGGAGATTAGAGACCTCGGTTCCCTAACGACAAAGTAAGAAGTGATCGAAGCAATAGAGAGCGCTTTTGGAGAACCAGTTCCTGACCCAAAAATAAACTTCTCTCCACCCAAAGGCTCGAGGCGGTGGCCAAATCGGATCTCCCGATGCGGCCTCGGGCTCGGGTCTGGCTTCCGGCCGAACCTTCCACCCCGGCCGAAATTGAAGAGATGTTGCGGTACTGCAACCCATCTCTCCCCACCCAAGACTGGAGGGTGATCAGGCTGGAGAGGACCGAGGCACCATATCGGCAAGCGCTGATACTCCTGAACAAGGAGTCCCTCGCTCCTCTCAGTGTCACAAAGGGGGCCATAAGCTATGGCTTCGAGAGAGTCGTTCTCAAGACGCTCCCAACAGAAGCCAGGGCGGATGGCCCGCTGCCTCCTGCGGGGGTGGAAGAGAGTGGGAAAGTTCCCCTCTCGAAAATGGACGTCGACCCTGTCCTCTCGGACGCGGTGAGCACGGGGGGCGGATCGTCAAGTGATGGCGGATCCGTCTTCAGTCTCGAGCATCTGTTCGAGGAGGCTGGCGTCGACGATATGGACGATGGTGCGGAACTCGCACTGCTGGAGAGGAGTTTGGAGGATGAAGATCCCGAAGGCCTGGAGACAGGTTAAGGTTGCGTTCATCAGCCCATCAGCCTATCCTCGTTTTTGTTGAAAACGCTGGAGAGACTTATGGATCTGTACATCAGGTGCAGAATACCGAGGGGTAAACTGTTACGAGCGCAGCATGCCTATATCAAGGGCAGGTCGGTCGACACTGCTTTGCATGATGTAGTGTCGTGGCTGGAGACAGCGCTATTGCAAAAGGAATTTGCAGTGGGCACCTTTCTCGACATCGAGGGGGCCTTCAATAACGTTCGGCCGTGGTTAAAGCCCTCGAAAAGTTTGAAGTGGAATCGAACCTCAAACACCTCATTTTCAGTCTTCTCTGCGACAGAACTGTCGTAGCGGAGTGGGGTAGTGCTAAGTCAACCAGAAAGGTAAACAGGGGAACTCCGCAAGGAGGAGTACTCTTCCCTCTGCTCTGGATCTTGGTTGTAAACGACCTACTTATAGAACTCGAGGAGCAAGGCTGTCGAGTGATAGCCTATGCTTATGATGTGGTTCTTATGGTTAAAGGTAAATTCCTGAATACCGTCTATGAGCTCACCGAAGGGTACCTAAACGTGGTATCCAACTGGGCAAACAGAAGCGGCCTAGCCGTCAACCCAAGTAAAACCGAAATGGTTTTATTCACTAAGAGGTATAAGATCCCAAATGTGCCTCTCCCCTCCTTCGGGGGTTCACGTCTTCAACCTGTTGATAAGGTGAAATACCTAGGGCTCATCCTGGATAGAAAGCTTTCTTGGAGGCCGAACATCGAGGAGAGAGTCAAGAAGGCATTGGTCGCCTTATACTGCTACAGGGGAGCTATAAGGAAAAGGTGGGGACTCTCACCAAAGGTGGTGTTCTGGCTCTACGAAACCGTAGTCAAGCCAATACTGTTCTATAGTGTGTTCGTCTGGTGGAAGGCGCTCAAAAAGACTACCCTGGCTAAAAAGCTTGAGCGAGTCCAAAGAGCGGCGCTCATCGGAATCTCCGGTGCACTGCGAACCACACTAACGATAGCTCTCAACGCTATATTAAATATAGCACCCGTGGACATTGCCGGTAGGTGCATTGCTTCGTGTGCTATTAGGCTCAGAGAAGCTGGCAGTAGAAGTACTGTTACGTAGTGTAGCTTCGTTTAGAGAGGTGATCATTCACTTCGACAGCAGAGCGGCAATACAAGCCCTGAGTGCGCGAACCGTGCATTCAAAGCTAGTCAAGGAGTGTCTGTCCTCGCTAGAACTAGCATCAGGCTACTTCAATATCAGGCTCGTTTGGGCACCTGGTCACAGCGGAATCGCTGGGAATTGCAAGGCCGATGAGCTGACCAGGGGGGTACCCTTGCTCCGCTCACATCGGAATGGGATCGAGTTGGTTCTCCACTAACGTCTTGCATTCTCGCTCTGGACCAATGGACCTCGCGGCGACCAGCTCCTGCGCGACCACGCGATCCTTCTGGCCGAGAGTGGATCGCAGGAGGTCGGGGGATCTTCTCGCCTTGAACAAAGTTCACCTCGCCGCCATGGTAGGAGTTCTCATTGGCACTGTCCAATGGCAGCGCTCGATGGGAAAACATGATTGAAGCATTAGAAGAAAAATTTAAAATACCCGCATATCTCAGCATAATGGTGAGAAGCTATTTGGAAGACAGGGTTTTGCTGTATAAAACCTCTGAAGGACCACGACACTTGAAGGTCACGTCCGGAGCTGCGCAGGGATCAATCCTCGGCCCAGACTTCTGGAACGTCGGTTACGACGGCATATTAAGCCTCGATATGCCCGACGATACTTATCTTGTTGGCTACGCAGATGACATTGCCGCGATAATCACTGCGAGAGACACCGAAGATGCGCGCAGGAAGTTAAATCAGGTGATGATCAGAGCACAAATGTGGCTTGATGCGAAAGGTCTCAAACTTGCCACTGAAAAAACCGAGCTGGTACTGCTAACAAAGAAGCATATTCCGACTATAGTAGACATGAGGACAACAACAGAAACATTAAGGACACAAAAGGTTGTCAACTACCTGGGGGTAAGATAGACTCCAGGCTTACCTACTGGGCACAAATTCAACACGCTGCGAAAAAAGCATCCATAATAACCAGCCAACTGAGCAGGCTGATGTCTTATATCGGAGGACGGAGACAGGAAAATTGGAAGCTTTTGATGTAGACAACACTGTTTTGTCTTGCTCTACGGAGCAGAGTTATGGGCAGACACATTAAGAAAAAATAATAGACGCAAAACTCTCGAAATAGTGTATCGTACAGCTGCTCTAAGAGTAGCATCGGCATACCGTACCGTCTCGGGCGAAGCTGTATATGTAATAACCGGAAACACACCCATCGACTTATTAGCATTTGAACGAAAGAAAATGTGGACGTTGAAGAATTAAGGAACAGATGCTGCCGCTACCAAAGAGGAAATAAAGATCAACACCTTGGAACAATGGCAAGCTCGCTGGGAGCAAGGACGCTACGGTAGATGGACGGCCAGGCTAATCCGAAACATAAAAGAATGGTCTAACAGGGAACATGGTGAGGTGGATTTCTACACTACTCAGATGCTATCCGGGCATGGATATTTCAGGAAGTATCTATATAAAATGTGGAAAGTCGAAAAGCCGTCCTGTATATACAACGACCCGATCGAGGACGACGCTGAACATACATTTGGGCCAATCAAATATGTATGTATGCGTATATGGTAGTCAATATATAAGTTGTAAGGGTATAAATTAATTAATTTTGAACCCGAAAGTGATAAGGTCTTTACCCGAGCTTTGATAATGAGATAATGGGAGAGACTCGTGTGTTCTACCGCGAACATAACAGCGAACTGAAACATGAACTCTGTAAAGACGGCGTAATCTAAAACAATATCTTTTAAAAGTATGGTGTCGGGTTTTGGAAATTTTTGTGAAATGTAGAATTCTGTTTGCTCTTCATATTGTTGCCGGCAATAGTTTACGGTCAAAATAACGGAGAAGAGCCGTTTGCAATTTATGTAGATGTTGGAAATGAAGTTCAAAATGTTATTAGTTTGGTCAACAAACACGAAACAAAATTAAACGATTTCGATAAGAAATTACTAAGGTAAGGGAAATAGCAAAAATACTCGTATTTATGAAATAATGTACACTGTGTTACATTTAGAATCCAAAATATGCAGGAAAAATTCGAGGAACGTTTTTTACAGTTGGAGCAAAATGTAAAGACAGCTGAGAATGTGAATCAAAAGTAAGTATGCACTAAAAGTTTTTATTTACCCACATTAAGAACATTCACATCAGACGATCGCCATCAGACAGCCATATGCCAATCAACTCCGAAGTAAGTAGGAGGATACTCACAAAACATCGTGTTATCTTCACGAAATTAAGCACAAATTTTCTCAAAGGCAACATTTTAGTATCTGAACACATTTTGCAGACCGGACCAATATAGCATATATGCTGTAGCTGACATGCAAGCTGTACCATCAAAATCAAGCCCTTGTATGGAAAACTTTATTGTTTGCCGAGATATCTTCTCAAAAATAGGCATAGAATGTTATCCGAGGGGTACTCTAGCTTTGTTGCAACCGAAATTAACGTTTTTCAACTTGTTGTAAATTTATGTAACTTTAAACGTCTATTTTGCCCGGATTATATAAAACATGCTGGTAAATGTATGTACAATATATTTTTCAAATCTAATCAGATGACAGGTTTTCAACACTAAGTTTGAACAGAGGCTCTCATCAATTGACACCAATTTTGCGTCTTCCATGAGGGTACAAGAGGGGTAAGAATTAAATTAATTTTATTGTTATTATTTTATTGATGATGTTTTCATAAGAAGATAACACATATTCGGCGAGTGAAGGTTTCAAACTATGAGAACTACTCCACTCTGTGAAGCAGGCTGCAGTACAGTGGAGCAGTAATTCTGCCTCTAGCAGTTGCCTCTGTTTGAAAGACGCTACAAGCTGAAAATAGAACCAATGGAGAGCTTCCAAGAAAATTCTCCCCTTTCCGCTTCTCACTGCCCTCAGTTCTACTATATTTCTTTATTGGAATTGCTCTAAAGAAATTGAAGTAAAGAGGAATTATTTTTAAAAGCGCTGCAGTACTGATAATTATTAATGCGGTTTGCAATATTGAAAGTGGAAACTGAGATTATTATATACATATACTGAATTTATAACATACATACATACATCTACAGCTGTCTGAGTTGACCACATCAACAATTTTGCTATCAGAATTTCAAAGAAGTCACAGTTCAAAAGTAAAAAGTAATAAAATGCAGAAGGCATTACAGCGCTTGTGTGTCTTCGTAGTTCTTTTAAATACAACTGAAGCAAGTAGAGCTGATGAAGTTAATCGAGGAAACAATGTAAGATCATATCCGCCAAACAATCTTCTTCAGGATACTTCAGAAAGGTAAATGCAATCGCTATACAGTTATAGAAAAATGTGTACTTTTCTACAAAGCGCTGACCTGAAAAGAAGCGACAGTGACTGGCCAGTCAAAAATCTTGACTCCCCTGACAGCAAAGTATAGGTCGCAGCATCGATGAATGCAAATAAAACACTCATGTCGAATTCGAACTTTGTAGTTGTTGTTGTTGCTGTTATATTCAAAACTCCTTCTCGTCTACGAGGCAAACTTTTTATTCAACTTTAGTATTTCACCAAAGGAATATATTTCCAACATTCCTTCTCAAAATTCATCGAAGTTCTACTTTTCTTTTTTGTATGGGTTTAAGGTCGCAGGATTGCGTGGGAATGATGTTTTTTTTGTACAATTACTCTTACACAACTCTACAGTATCAATAATATCAATAATTTTATCACAACTTTACAGTGGCATTTGGGCTGCGGTGCACAAAAATATTTATTTCAGTAACGAACTTCTAGGAAAAATGGTTCCATTCCTTAAGTACTAGTTTCTTAGTTTTTCCAGATAAGAAAATGTATTCATATTAGTGTTTATTCCTACTAATGGCTCGGCTTCAAGAAAGTAAAGATCCCCAATCTTACAAGTTATGCCCAACGTGTTCTACTGGCAACGTAAAGTTAGTTTTTTTCTTTGCAGTGAGTTGTTTGTGAGCATAGAACTTTCCATCTGGTTTGATCAAACTAATTATTGTTACATCGGAAAATAAGACTACTTCCCATACAAGGTGCGTTCCAAAGTAAACCGGACTTAAAAAAAAAAAAAGACAGAACAAATGGTTTTATCGGCAAAATCAATTAATTTTATTCAAAATAGTCTCCTTCTGCTTTAATACAGCTTTTTGCGTGGTCCAAAAGCATGTCGAACAAGTATTTTAGCTAGTTGCCTGGTATAGCCGCCAGGATGCCGGTGCAAGCCTTTTGAATGGCCTCCACGTCTGCATAACGCTTTTCTTTCATCGGCAAATGCATTTTTCAAGGTAGAAGTCGCACGGTGCCATATCAGGTGAATACGGGGAGTGGTTGATTGTAAAAATGTGATTTTTGGTCAAATAATCGGCCACAAGCGTCGATCGATGAGACGGCGCATTATCGTGTAACAAACGCCAACTTCCATCTTCGCGATATTCGGGCCGAACACGTCGAATACGGCGCACCAAACGCTTCGAAACTCCAAGGGAGAATACCGCATTAATGTTTTGGCCGGGTGGAACAAATTCTTTGTGGACAATACCCTTGGAATCATAAAAACAAATCAGCATTGTCTTCACTTTTGACTTCTCCAGATTCGATTTTTTGGGTTTCGGCTCATTTCTCATTTATGTCCTCACGACCACTTTGAAAACGTTGAAACCAATCGTGCACTCTGCTACGGGATAGGCAATCATCGCCATAAACTTGTTTCATCAATTGAAACGTTTCGGTAAAAGTTTTACCAATTTTAAAACAAAATTTAATGTTTGCTCTTTGTTCGAAACTCATTTTCGCACCGATGACAAAAAAATACTGATACTTAAAAGGCAATAACTTCACTTCCAATAGATGTAATGTCATGAAATTTTCACTAGAAGTCGATAAAGGATAGAAGATTCTAACGCACTAGTCGACATATAGATGGCACCACTAGAGTTTACTTTGTTACTTTTTTACTGTTTTCTTTGGAACGCACCTTGTATATCAAGGCTTTTGCTTTTATGAGCGTTTAACCAAAAGGGGTCAGAAGAGAAAAGTTTTAACGCCATATTTAGAAAACCCAGCAATTCGTTAACATTAGACATCTCTTAATGACGGAATATTGGAACTAAGGGGTTGATGCTATATTCTCATTAGAATAATAATTTTTAACAAAAGTACAGTTACAATTCAAACATACCTAAATATTTATATGCAATATTTCTAAAACCGATTGCTTTAAATCAGATTACAGGCTTTTAATACAAAGTTTGAACAAAGACTCTCATCAGTTTACAATAATGTGACGTCTTCCATGCTCGTACAAGAGAGGTAAGAATTTTATTAATTTTAATATGAAAGAAGGAATTTTATAAAATTTGTATAATTGCGAAATTTCAAATATTCAGCTGGCAACACAGAAGAAATCATTACCATCATCAACATCGTTATAGTCGTAGCTAATGAAAAGTGATTGACACTGCACTGAATGTTACAAAAAGAGAGAAGGAGAATATTGGTACTACAATATAAAGATAAAAAATATATGTTGAAATTCTAGTTAATTAATAATAATAATAAATATGGATCTTTATGTTTCGCAGAATTTTTAACGCTAAGTGAATTTCTTGATAAAATCAGTGCATTTAGTGAGATCATCGTTGGGTTGTTGATCACCGGCGGTGGTCTTCTCATGAAGGGTCCTTAAATTTGTAAGTTTTTGGTTTTTCAATCATGGTGTATAATCACCTTCTCCTCCGCTTTCTTTTGATACTTGCTTTCATTAAAATCTTGACATATCATCCTAATTTTTACTCAATCAGGTATCTTAATATGCGGTTTGTCGTTAAAACAGCACCAGGTAATCCAATGTTCTGACACCTCTGCGTCGACAGGTAATCAAAAGAGGTCAATAGCGCTTCCTATGTGAACAAATGAACGGTTATAAATATTACTTCATTAGCATCAGCTAGTTGATATATATTTATATCTAGTAGTAGTACTCGGCACTCTTTAAATATATGTACTTATGTGATCAAACTTTTTTATTCAGGCAGGTTCTTTAATTCATTTCCGAGTGAATTTCAAGCAAATTCACTTTCAATCTAACACTTGGTGTTCTATCTTTCACTTTCACTATTAAATTTCCAAATTGTTTTTCAAAATGAATTTCGAGTGGACATGTAAATTAAACTTAAACCGAGAGGTTCAATTTTCGACCACTTTTTGCAGCGATTGGGACCGTATGTCATCTTCCAAGACGTCAATCGTAAGCGACTTCAGATAACCCCATAAAAAATAGTCCAGCGGTGTTAATTGACACGATCTTGGAGGTCACACGCCAGGTTCACAATGCGAGATAATGCGTTTCCTTTAATAAATTTGTTGTTTCGTTGGCTGTATGGCACGTAGCGCTGTCTTGTTTAAACCAAAGGGCCGCAATATCAACATCCTCCGATTCAGGCACGAAAAAGTTACAGAACTTACTTAACTTTTTGGACAAGGTGTGATGAGGATACGGAATCTCAATAATATCTTGTGGATTATTATCACTCCAAAAGCGACAATTTCGTTTATTAACGCATTTCAACCAAAAGTGAGCTTCATCGCTTAACCGAACTTGCGACGAGTTTGGCTTTAATCCTTGCACGAGTTGGATTTTGTAACATAAGTCCGCAAACCAAGATTATTCCGCAAAATCTTCGATAAAGTGGATAGGCAGAGCTTCAATTGTTGCGCGGGATTGCGGATGGGCTCATGCTCTATTTTTCTCAGCTCTACAGCAGCAACAGCATCTTTGTTGGGCAGAGTACTGCCTTCAAAATATGCCTTCTCAAGTCTAAAATTTATCAAAATCGGGCCATAACTTTTCAACCCCCATATACCGAAAATGGGGACCCAGTATCCATGATTGTCCTAAATTATCATTCAATGTATGATATACATAATTGGAATTTGGAGCAAACCGCGGGTGAATACTTCTCTTAGCCCTCATGTACCTAATAGAATGCTTTTCGAACTTTCGGCTGACGTATAAAGTCAGCATTATCTTAATATGTGTATTGTATTTTTGTGCCTAAAATGGTGAAGACTTGCCCCAACATATATCATCATATAACTAATATCAGGATTTTCAAACATCCGGTTGACTTTAATACTTATATATTATCTTTTTGATGGTATGTGAGATCGCTTAAAGAAACAGAGAGAACGTCTTTTCTGTAAATAATATGTGGTAATGCCGAAAATAGATTAAATCGGGACAATCACTTATGGCTTTATATATACGGCGATGGTCCATAAATATGATATCTTAGCAAAATTAATATATAATATTGGAAATACCATAGTTTAGTGACGAAAATATGTCAAATAAACGAATTACCCAAACTCTCATATACTACATAAATGGTTTTCGTTATTTATTAAATTTCGAATTTGAATTTCGAATTAATGATATATTGATCTTTGTCAGTTGCAAGGGTATAAAATGTTCGGTTACACCCAAACTTAGCCCTTCCTTACATGTTATTATTGTTTTGTTGTATTTATTTTTTTGAATATTTTTAAAGCTTTCATTAATTTATATGATGCAATAACAACGAGAACAATAATGAACAAATTTCTCTTTTTTCAGAACACCAAAACCAAATTCATTCGTTTTTGTATTTATTTTAAATTCCAGTTTCACTCGGATTCCAGAATCTGCCTTACATGTTTTACATATTTTTTTGGGAAAATTGCGAAACTTTTTATGTGTAAAGCTCTTTCAGTCAGTCAAAATTTTAGTAAGGCGAAAAAAATTAAAATTACTTGAAAATCTTTGTGAAAATTTGAAAATAACGGTAACTTGATTAAAATTTTACTGTTCTCGATTTGGCAATGTCGAAAAATAAGAACTGTATGTCCAAGAAGCGCCTTGATAAAAAAAAATTAATTCCTAGTGCAAAATTTATGTCGAAGTCCAAAATATTATTAGTTGCTCACCCACAATAGTACGTAATACTATCAGGTACCAACCAAGTAATAAAATACGGCATGGAAGCCAGCATTGTCAGTAAGAGAAGTCAATTCCATTGTCCGGTACTCTAAGCAGTTTTCATTTGCCGCTGCTACAACATAAAGGCTGTCTTTAATGTACCTGCAAGTATTGTAACATTACGCTGGCGTTTGCACGATCACGACCTGGGAGTCCAAGAAAAGTGCCGTGGACATGCTAGGTAGACTTACCGAATACCAGCCGAAATACATAACAAAAACGGTAAAACATGGAGAAGAAGGGCGTGAGGTCGTGCTTTTCTTGGCAAGGTGTGGGACCAATTTATTGGATTAAGGAGAACACGACAAGTGACTATGACTATGTCGAAATACTACAGAACACCATGCTTCCATATGCCAGTGATGAAACACAGCTTGTTTGGACGTTCCAGTAGGACAACAATCGCAAACACACAAGTAAATTTGGTAAAGCTTGTGGGCTGATTTCAAGGGGTCCGTAGCCCCATGTAAGCCGACATCGACCATGCTACTATTAATATGTATAGTGTGAGTGGTAAAACATATTCGGAGCTTGGACGAAGCTCGGGCTCGCATCGTAGTCAAAGATTTGTTTTTTTCGCATATTTAATTTTTTTTATGAATATTGATGCTTCTCTGATTTTTGTCAAGCTGCCTGCGCTGTTGCCACGATTCATAAGATGTTTCGCTTTAAAAATTACAGTAATTCTCAAAAATATAATCTAAATATTAAAGAGGTACTTACACTTAGTACAGTTGTTCGCAGCAGTTCAAAAAACAGAGAGATCTAATGTGAGTCGCGTTGTGGAGAATTAATTTTTCTTCGCTCTTATGTAAGAGGATGAATAGAATATATGAATATAATTAGTACATAACTTGTGACGGTAGAATTTAATTAATATACTCGAAACGATAAGGTGTTTCCCATGGTTTGATGATGAGATAACGCTAAAGGCTTGCGTCTTTTTGCGAGAAGATGAACACAGCGAACCAAAAGATGAACTCTTAAAAGAAGGAGTGAAATAAAACAATAGCTTACAAAGTGTTTTTTTATAGAAAGATAACAGGAAATATATTCATATTCTGATTAAACCGTTATACGTATTAAAAATTCTACTTACAGTACGCAGTCGGGTTTTGGAAAACAATGCGAAATGCAGAATCCACGCAAATACACGGTCCTCGGCTGCTTCCTCATCATTTTGATGCCGGCAATAGTTTACGGTAAAAGTAATGAAGAAAAGCCGTTCGCAATATATTTAGATGTTGAAAATGAAATTCAAAATGTTATTAGTTTGGTCAATAAACACGGACCAAAATTAAACGATTTCGATAATAAATTACTAAGGTAAGGGAAATAGCAATAATACTCGGATTTATGAAATAATATACACTGTGTTACATATAGAATCCAAAATAAGCAGTAAAAATTCGAGGAACGTTTTTTACAGTTGGAGCAAAATGTAAAGACAGCTGAGAATGTGAATCAAAAGTAAGTATGCACTAAAAGTTTTTATTTACCCACATTAAGAACATTCACATCAGACGATCGCCATCAGACAGCCATATGCCAATCAACTCCGAAGTAAGTAGGAGGATACTCACAAAACATCGTGTTATCTTCACGAAATTAAGCACAAATTTTCTCAAAGGCAACATTTTAGTATCTGAACACATTTTGCAGACCGGACCAATATAGCATATATGCTGTAGCTGACATGCAAGCTGTACCATCAAAATCAAGCCCCTGTATGGAAAACTTTATTGTTTGCCGAGATATCTTCTCAAAAATAGGCATAGAATGTTATCCGAGGGGTACTCTAGCTTTGTTGCAACCGAAATTAACGTTTTTCAACTTGTTGTAAATTTATGTAACTTTAAACGTCTATTTTGCCCGGATTATATAAAACATGCTGGTAAATGTATGTAGAATATATTTTTCAAATCTAATCAGATGACAGGTTTTCAACACTAAGTTTGAACAGAGGCTCTCATCAATTGACACCAATTTTGCGTCTTCCATGAGGGTACAAGAGGGGTAAGAATTAAATTAATTTTATTGTTTAAGATGTTTTCATAAGAAGATTTGTCTGAAAGACGCCTCTGCCTCTGTTTGAAAGACGTTACAAGCTGAAAATAAAACCAATGGAGAGCTTCCAAGAAAATTCTCCCCTTTCCGCTTCTCACTGCCCTCAGTTCTACTATATTTTTTAATTGGAATTGCTCTAAAGAATTTGAAGTAAAGAGGAATTATTTTTAAAAGCGCTGCAGCACTGATAATTATTAATGCGGTTTGCAATATTGAAAGTGGAAACTGAGATTATTATATACATATACTGAATTTATAACATACATACATACATATATAGCTGTCTGAGTTGACCAGATTAAGAATCTTGCATTCTTGATAACTCGAGTATGAAACCATAAATAAGAGCTTCCTTCCATCTGTAGCTACCAGTAGTCTTTCATATTTACACAGTTCAAAAGTGAAGAGTAATAAAATGCAGAAGGCATTACAGCGCTTGTGTGTCTTCGTAGTTCTTTTAAATACAACTGAAGCAAGTAGAGCTGATGAAGTTAATCGAGGAAACAATGTAAGATCATATCCGCCAAACAATCTTCTTCAGGATACTTCAGAAAGGTAAAGGCAATCGCTCTACAGTTATAGAAAAATTTGTACTTTTCTACAAAGCGCTGACCTGAAAAGAAGCGACAGTGACTGGCCAGTCAAAAATCTTGACTCCCCTGACAGCAAAGTATAGGTCGCAGCATCGATGAATGCAAATAAAACACTCATGTCGAATTCGAACTATGTAGTTGTTGTTGTTGCTGTTATATTCAAAACTCCTTTTCGTCTACGAGGCAAACTTTTTATTAAACTTTAGTATTTCACCAAAGGAATATATTTCCAACATTCCCAGATATTTCTTTAACCCCTTTCCTTTCTATTGGATTTATGTGCTCTAGTCACACCACTTGGTTGAACGACGTCCGCAGTGGATACTTAATTCAAATATCTAAGATTGGCTCCTCCGCCGCTCCAAGGTTTCTCAAGCAAAAGACAGTATTGTCTAACTGTAACGTTAAGGAGAACTTCTGGTAAAAGTGTCAGCCGTTCTCATCTCAATCAGATGAGATCAAAAGATTGGACCAGCAAATGCTGCTTTTTTCCATCTGTAGCTATCCCTGAAGTAGTAACTTGAGACTCCTACTTTAGTTATTACTATAAGGTTTCGCAAAAGATAAGGCGACTGCTATGTATTATTGATTAACAGTAGATATTTCCAGTAGGTAACAAAAATTTAGTAAAAATCAAAATAAAACTTATTCTCTACTTTTCACAGTTTGCATAGAAAGTTGAACTGTACAACAACATCCCCACATAGGGTACTGCCACCTGTCATAAGCGACTGTGCAAAAGCAAAATACTACCTCGGTGAAGAATATAGAGACGGCATATACGAACTACACCTCCCGGGATTCCAATCAATGAATGCAACTTGTGTGACAAAATGCTAACCGAGCAACTCAACAAGATGCTCTACGTGGACCGTGGTGGTACGCAATCATGAGAGCGCGAAAGGCACCTTTCAAAGAAGCTACAATGACTTTAAAGTTGGCTTTGGAAATGCGAGTACCGACTATTTCATCGGTTTGGATCGACTCTATGAGCTGACAAGGCGTGCAAAGCAATCTCTGCTCATCGTCGACCTAACAACTCATACAGAAATCTTCTTAGATGAATTCCACATTAAGGATGCGAAATCAAATTACAAGATTTACGGTACACAAGGACATGCAATCTACATCGGGGCTGCAGGTAACTATTATATTGAGGACGATTTTAATTTTTCTGTCGATGACGAGTGTGCGCTGAAAAATAATCGTGGCTGGTGGTACCCGACAAGCTTTTGCAGATTGTATACATTTACACCGTATGTAACTTGAATAATTCCTAACAAAGTTTCATCTGAATCTCTGTTCTATGCTCTACAGAAATCTATCGAACGACTTTTTCATTGCGTTGGAACCGCAAATATGTAGTAGCGAAGATGTATGGATGATTTCTTCTACCCTTAAAAACAAATATGGATTTTTATCATTTCGCAACGTTTTATTTTTCAATGTCGATTTTATGTATTTTCCCCAGCTAAATCTTCCGTTACTTTAGTGATCCGAAGAAGCTGGACTTTGGCTTTTATATGAAACGTTAGTAAAACCAACAAATTGTGTGGCGCAACAAATTCCGCCACACTTACAGTACCATATTAAATATTAAAGCCTGTACCAAGAGTTGAACTGAGATGCTTTTTTTGATTGGTGTATATTCAGAAGATTAAAAATGTTGTAACGTTGCCACCTGTTTGAAAATATAAAAAAGAACAAGTCAGAAGATTACTACAAGCTAAGAATGTTAAAATGCAAGATTGCTGCCCGTATTATATATTGTATTCCTTACTGCCGACGTTGCCACTATTTACCATTCTAACCAATGTGTAATATTTTACCTATTTTATAGATTAAAAGTGATTTTTGCAAACTAAAGATGTTTCAGAAATATTCTTCTTAGGATAATTTCAGAAAGTGTTACATATGCATAGTTTTTCTCATAGAACTAAATTTAATTAGATTTGTATTTAATAACAATAATTATGAGAAATCTTTTATTGAAATTTTTAAAAGAAGGTTTACCGTCTGAATGAAAATTTTAACTGATAAGATTGCCATAAATAAAGGCTTAGAACACATTTGGATAACTAAATTTTTACACTAAAATAAGTAAAAGGTTAGTCCGATATATATATTTAATAATTTTGTATTACGAGATATATTTACAAAATTTTGCATTATTTATTTTCCAGGGCAATCAAGTTCTTGTATGGACTATTTTTTATTTGTGAAGGGTATTATAGCTTTGGTGCAGAAAATGAGATGTAAAATAAATTCAAAATATGTATAGTATTGCGGCCACGCACGTTCGAGCACACCCTTTCACTTGAAAATGTATCATCATTTGAGATAAGGTTACTAAATTATCATCTTTAATACCGAACTCCTTAAAATATTTTCATTTCCTACAGCATAGTCGTGAACTAACAGAGCTTGCGGCACTCGCTTTGTCAACACATGTATACGATCTAAACCAATGAATAGTCATTGCTTGCACTTCTACTCCTTCGATATATGTTTTCTGTGCTTCGCTAACTGCCATGCATTGCTAAAATCCCAGGGTCGACTTGAACCAGCATAAACACTCAAAGATCGCCTTCAACTCTTTAGGATCGCTTATGCACACTTTTAAGGAATCTGTCGAATGAATTAGTCAAACACTAAATACTATAGATTTCTCACCATCCCGAGAGAGAGAGAGAGATCTGATAATTTAGTATTGCCGTTACAGTATTTCCCGGGTAATTGTACTTCAAAAATTGCACAATTTTTGGTTCAATTAACGGGGAATCAAATAACCGATACTCGATTTATTAAACTCAAACGCTCAATTTAATTAATCCTGCGTAATTAGACAACTTAATTAATTAAAAATCATATGTGCACTTTAAGTATTAATTTAATATTTAGTAATGATACATACATACATATGTATATTAAAGATGTCGTGTTAGTTATAATATTTATAACACAAGAACGGTTGAACCGATTTTTGGCTACCTTCTCACCAAAGGTAGCTTAGAACGGTGGCGGATATACATACTATACAAGCAGATAATTTTATCTTTTATATATAAAGTCAATACAATTAATAAATAAAAAAATTATATTTCAAATCATAAGCATGTTTAAAATTCAATACTGCGAAGTTAAAGAATCAGAAGTTTAAAATTGTTTTAAATGAGAAGCAGGCGTGGTTGTTGACCCACTATAATTGTTCCAATCTAAACGAAATCATCAGAAGGCCGGGATTGTAGGGGAGAATATAGGTAAGTAGGAGGTCAGCCCTTTTAGCTTAATTAGTGCTTGATGCGCCATTGTGATACACTCTTGTATTCAGTAGAACTTCACAGGTTTTTATGCCAAGCAGTAGTACCGCTTGGAAGATGCTAGCGGGGTTTGGTAGACGGATGTAGATAGAGATATTAAAATCCTTTGGGTATACCCCCGTCACTACTCCGTAATGCATTTTTGACCCGTCTGTACAGATTGATATTGAGATCCCCTCCCATACTAAATATCTTGTCCATTCACGTCTAGAGGGTATTCTCCACTGGAAGTAACCATTGAAAACCAAGCTTGGGATGATATAGTCTGATCTATTTTGATTTGTTTTGAACTGATTCAGGATATCGCTATATTCATAACTTTTCATGGTCCAATTTGCATATATATTTTTCTACAATCTTATCTAGATGGGCCAATCGAATATGTATGTATGCGTATATGGTAGTCAATATATAAGTTGTAAGGGTATAAATTAATTAATTTTGAACCCGAAAGTGATAAGGTCTTTTCCCGAGCTTTGATAATGAGATAATGGGAGAGACTCGTGAGTTCTACGCGAACTATAACAGCGAACTGAAACATGAACTCTGTAAAGACGGCGGTAATCTAAAACAATAGCTTATAAAAGCGCTTCTTATAGAGAGATAATGCGGGATAACTTCGCATTGTGATAACAGTTTCAATAACCGTTACATATATTAAAAATTCTGCATACTGCAATGCAGTCGAGTTTTGGAAATCGCTGCGAAATGCAGAATCCACGCAAATACACGGTCCTCGGCTGCTTCCTCATCATTTTGATGCCGGCAATAGTTTACGGTAAAAGTAATGAAGAAAAGCCGTTCGCAATTTATTTAGATGTTGAAAATGAAATTCAAAATGTTATTAGTTTGGTCAATAAATATGAAACAAAGTTAAACGATTTCGATGATAAATTACTAAGGCAAGTAAAATGAAAATGGATGTAAAGGACTGTTTACATAATAATATAATCTGTGTTGCATATAGACTTCAAAATATGCTGGAAAGTATCGAAAAACAATGTTTGAAGTTGGAGCTAAATTTAATGACTGCCCTGGAAAAAAAGTAAGTACAGACGATGAGTTCTGTTTTTAGTTCATAAAACCATTCGTGTCTGAAAATAGGGATCACGCGAACTATTTAGGTAGGACCTGGTTACTTCTACAATATCCTAATTAAATTTCACAGGAGAAGGTTTTTTATAGTCTTATAGTATACTTCACTAATGTTCATCGGCATATTTCATGAAACATTTAAGTATGTAGCGAAAAAATTTCAATTATATTGAGGTGGAGCCAATCTAAAGTTTGAAGTTTGAATTCGTGGAAGAGTGAATGAGTCATTGGACTGTTTGTTAAAATAAATAAATGTATAATAAAAATTGTATTTCTTGTTATCAACGACAAAGAACATCGGCCCTCTTCTCAAATAGTAGTAATGATGAGAGCAACTATCTTGGCTATCTACATACATACATCATATATAGATTTTTGATGCCGTGTTGGGTTAGTGGTGGGAGCAATATTACGGCAACGAGGACAGTCTGTTACATCGGCGATTGAACGGATTTTAGTATCTCAAAAGAAAAAAACAACAGATGCAAAACGAAAAATGCTTTCGGTTTTAAGAAACGTTAAAATATTGCTAAAATTCTTGCTCAAAGTTAAGACATTGTGGAGTGATATTCATGACCAGCAACCGCCTTCTATTATTTTCCCACTTAAAAACCAATTTAAACATCACTTAATGACGGAATATTGGAACTAAGGTGTTGATGCTATATTCTCATTAGAATAATAACTTTTAACAAAAGTACAGTTACAACATACCTAATTACATATAAATATTTCTAAAATCGATTGCTTTAAATCAGATTACAGGCTTTTAATACAAAGTTTGAACAAAGACTCTCATCAGTTTACAATAATGTGACGTCTTCCATGCACGTACAAGAGGGGTAAGAATTTTATTAATTTTAATATGAAAGAAGGAATTTTATAAAATTTGTATAATTGCGAAATTTCAAATATTCAGTTGGCAACACAGAAGAAATCATTACCATCATCAACATCGTTATAGTCGTAGCTAATGAAAAGTGATTGACACTGCACTGAATGTTACAAAAAGAGAGAAGGAGAATATTGGTACTACAATATAAAGATAAAAGAGATTTGTTAAAATTCTAGTTAATTAATAATAATAATAATAAATATGGATCTTTATGTTTCGCAAAATTTTTGACGCTAAGTGAATTTCTTGATGAAATCAGTGCATTTAGTGAGATCATCGTTGGGTTGTTGATCACCGGTGGTGGTCTTCTCATGGATGGTCCTTAAATTTGTAAAAATGTTCACCTTTCCTATAACGTATGGGTATAACAGTCATGTGACGTATCGAAGGAGCGGCATGATACTTATAAAGACTCCATGCATTGTATAAGCCTAGATTTATACAATGCTTCCATGTCAACTGTCTGGTAAGTTCGTATCGCACCTCTCACACGAACGTATGCGAGTTCGGCAGTTTCAGTGAAGTGAATAAATGAACGGTTATATACAATATAATATTTCCTTAGTACTATTGAACCAATTTTTTGGCGATCATCAAAAGCTTTATTTGTAAATTTTCGGTATTTCCTATAGTGATATTCTTCAAATCAAAATGGCGCTTACACCTCGTACAGCTGTACAGACATGTTCAAAAAATAGAGCGAACTAATTTGAGTCGGGTAGTGGATAATAGTGTTTTCATCACTCCTATGTAGGTGGGCGAATCAAATACAGGTATGTATAATCAGTACATATGTAAATAAGTAGCTTGTGAAAGTATAATTCAAATAATATACCCGAAACGATAAGGTCTTTTTCCAAGCTTTGAGAATGAGATAACGTTAAGAACTCGTGTCTTCTTGCGCAAAGACGAACACAGCGAGCTTACAAAGGCGATTCTTTTAGAAAGATAACACTAAATATAATATATTCACTTACTGATAACAGTTTCAAAAAACTTTTATATATATTCAAAATTCTGGATTCCACAAGGTTTGGAAATCGTTGAGAAATGCACAGTTCACGCAAAAGCACGGTCATCGGTTGTTTGCTCTTAATTTTGATGCCGACAATGGTTTACGGTCAAAATAACGAAGAAGAGCCGTTAGCAATTTATTTGGATGTTAGAAATGAAATTCAAAATGTTATTAGTTTAGTCAATAAACACGAAACGAAGTTTAGCGATTTCGACGATAAATTACTAAGGTAAGTGAAATGAAAACGATTAACTACCAAAATACTCAGATTTATAAAATATAATACTCTGTGTTGCATTTAGGATCCAAAATATGCTGGAAAAATTTGAAAAACAATTTTTGAAGTTGGAGCAAAATATAAATAGTGTTGAGAATATGGATCAAAAGTAAGTATGGACTAAGTGTGGGTAAAATCACAATGGGCCTCCTATAGGCCTAGGTGCGTCGTTGGACAGCCACTCTACTCTACCTAAGTGTGGGTAACCACATTATAAATATCAAATGATCGGCATTAGACAGCCATAAGCCAAGCCCGTATTAAGAAGTGGTGACCAGGATGCTTAGTGGAATCAGTGTACTTTTGCATTAACGCCTGGAAATTGAGAGTTGCGCATATATATAATATATAATTGGTAAAAAAAACCTTGAAGGATGTTCAATGTTGCTGAGGTCAGGATTAACGTCTAAAAGGCTGCCTTCCCTCTTTATTATTGTTATTCTTGCGGTCGTCTGCTGAATGCCCAGTACTTAAGTTGACTAAAGAGAGAGAGAGAGAGAGAGAAGAGTATTTTTACTATCTGTTTGAAATTCTCTGAATAAGAGCAGACAAAACATCGTTGAAAAGTTTTTACGTACGATAAAATAATATGACTACCGTATTTGATCAAACATTTCAGACAAATTTCGATAGATGTTATAATTTAACATCCATCAGTATTCCTACTATGCTTTGTGTAATAATAAATATAGTTTAAAAAAACTAAAAAGCACGTTTTTAAAGCACTGCAAGCTAAAAAGTGAAAAATAATTCTCTATATAGTAATATTGACCGAAAAACACTTGTCTTATGTGATATACTCGATATACGAAAAATATGGTACAAAGCACCCCACCCTTTTCTTACAATAATACAAGCATTTTTCGATCAATATCACTGTCAGTTTATATAAAGAATTATTTTTCAATTTTTAGTTTGAGTTGCTTTAAAAGAATGTTTTTTAGTTTTTCAAACCATATCTACTATTTAGCCACACATAGATTTTGTTTTTTAGCAGTGCCTATAAAACTGTTGATTCTTAAGTCAGAGATAAAGGTAATGAAACCGTTATAAAAACAAAATCGCTGATAGGAAAAAGACAATGCTTGCTTATAGAGAGATAAAATTTATAGAAAATTTCTCATTTCAGACGCAACTCTCATAGTGCTATAAAAGAGGTAATTTCTGAAAAGTATACGTGAGCTTAAGCGAGAGCATTCTGTAGTCTCAAAATTGGAGAGAGTTTTATCCCTCTAGGAATCAACATCGAACTTTTATTCCGTGAGTCTTACTCTGTATAGTTGGTTCATGTTCGAAACATAAAATGACAAACATTAAAAATAATTTAAGGGCTAAGTGAGGGTTTAAAACGGCTTATCTCAATTTCCGCCAAAACTAAGAATTCTTTAAAAAAAAAGTTATATGGCAATGTTGTAGGCAATGAAAAGATCTAAAACTTTTGTATATATTTTTTTTTCACATAACCTCAAAATTTATGTGAAAAATTCCAACAACTAAGTTTTTAGATTTTTATTCCCTGAACAGGGTATATTAATTTTGCCACGAAGTTTGTAAAACCCAGAAGTAAGCGTCGGAGGCCCTGTAAAATATATACATAAATGATCTGCATGATGAGCTGAGTTGATGTAACCATGTCCGTCTGTCCGTCCCTCAGTTTTTAAGCTATCGATCTAAAATTGTGCACCTGTCCTTTTCTCACTAAGAAGCTGTTCATTTGTCGTAACGTAATCAATTAGAATGATATCGGACCATTAAAGCATATAGCTACCATACAAACTGAACAATCGGAATAAAGTACTTGTAAGGTAAACTTTTTTATTTGACAAGTATCTTAACGAAATATGGCATGGATTATTATTTAAAGCAACAATGTAATCTCCGAATAAATTTTTTAGATCAGATCAATATAGCATATAGCTGCTATACAAACTGAACGATCGGAATCAAGTTCTGTGGTGAGTATTATAGCTTTAGTGCAACCGAAGTTAACGTTTTTTCTTGTTTTATTTTTATCTTGTACAAAAAATGTTTTATTTCATGAAATTTGGTGTAAACTTACTGATGAACGAGCTGTACAATAATTCATTGAATCTAGTGCGAACTATTTCATATTTTCAACGCTTATATACTATTTTTAAGATCTATTGTATCTAGCTATATGTGTGTGCATGTATATATTGTATTGTCATGCGACATACAAAAAAAAAACACAATATTCAATAAAAAATTCTCACGTCAAATTATCAGATTTTTTAAAAAACACAGTAGGTTCGTTAAAATATCTTCTTTCAGATGGTGTAAAGAATATATACATTACTATGGTAAAGTTTCTCCAGAAAATGCAAAGAAAAGACAGTTTGCAATGGTACAGATTGGACCACATACTACAACTAGCATATAGCTGTCATACAAACTGAACGATCAAAATCAAGTCCTTGTATGGAAAACTGTTTTATTTGACGTGATATCTTCACAAAATTAGTCATAGAATATTATCCGCGGGGGTTAACATTTTTTCAGGTTTTTAAACACGTTTCGAACATATTCATCAAATGTTGTAAATTCATGTGATCTTGAATGTCTATTTTGACCGGATTATTTAAAACATGCTGGCAAATGTATGTATATTTTTCAAATTTAATCAGATTACAGGTTTTCAACACTAAGTTTGAACAGAGGCTCTCATCAACTGAAACCAATTTAGCGTCTTCCATGAGGGTACAAGAGGAGTAAGTATTCAATTAATTTTAATATTTAAGGAGTTAATTTCATAAGAAGGTAACACATACTCGCATCTTTATTTAAATTTGTTGGAAATTTTCTTTTGGAAAACTTTGATTGATTCGACCGTGATATAAAGTACATACCTAAAAGCACTGTCTGTTTCTATATTTCTAACCAAATAATATAACTTTCAATTCAGTAACTTCAAAACACTATCTGACAATAATTTGGCACTGCAAGAGGAATTCTTGTCACATAAGGATGATTGGTGAGTAGAACTGGTTTATTACAAGAAATTCACACTTAATTTAGCATACTTTTTAGTTGCTCCTCGGGAAATAACTTAGTTACAGAGAACTTGAGCGAAGTGATAGCAACGGCTGCAAATACCACACAGAGTCTGGCGGTGAAGTCGACAATTGTTAGCATGCCACAAATATCTCGTGATTGTGTTGAAGTGAAAATGAAGCTTGGTTCACACTATGAAGACGGTGTTCATGAAATACAGCTGTCAGATTCTGATACTTTCGACGTATATTGCTTAACGAGATGTTCACAAGGGGATCAAATAAACTGTTGTCCCTGGACTGTGATACTACGGTATGAAAACAGTGGCGTGCGCCCAATGTATAACAGTTGTTGGAAATATGAAAACGGGTTTGGCAGTGCGAGTCATGACTACTTTATCGGATTAGATCGTTTGCATAAGATCACCAATCTTAAAAGGCAAACATTATTAGTGGCTAAAATTTTCCAGTCCGGAGAATACTTCATCTATGACGATTTCAGTATTAGAGATGAGCGGAATAATTATGACGTTGATATTTTAGGAGACAGCTGGGGACATAAAATAGGCGCCAAATTGTTCTCAAATGCTGTAGCATTAAAATATGTTGTTAGAAATCAATGCGACCTTTGGCCGTTTAAAACCGTCTCGCATTTCAATTTGTTCAACAGGTAAGGAAACTTTTTAGGCCCCGAATTTTGAAACTTTTATAGTTGTAATATATTTTGTTTTACAGGCGCTTTGCCACCAACTATTTTATGGCGATACGTCCTAAGATATGTCAGTAAACCATCCATGGCAGAGTCGGTTGGTGGGTTGTTTGATTTATCCACAATTTATTACATTGTACAAATCTAGCAGCTACATTTGTATGTGAAAATCTTTAAAATTCGAAGAATGATGTCAAAAACTTTAATAATGTATTAGTTTTTGAAATACAAAATTTTAGAAATTGTATTGTTGTATAAAAAGTTATTCAGGGTTTTAAAGGAAATGAAGTGCTAAGAAATTATTAGATTTATAGTACGTAGTGTTCAGCCTCTCTTGCATAAAGAAAAGTGTTACTATATGGTGTATAATCTATCTATACATTTTTGAAATTAAAGATGGGGCCAACATATCCTTGAATCGTGAGCTCTACAAAGAAATAATTTACAACTTTTTTGTTTCACACGTCTATATCAATCGTCTAAGTGCTAAATGATTTTGACAAAATGGTGAGATCGCGGTAACATGAAAAGGGCTGTCCTTCGTAATCTAGGTCCCCTGAATTTACTCCGTTAGATTATTTTTTGTTCGGATACCTCAAGTTAATGGTATACGCAGATAAACATGTTTAGACTGAGAAATTGAAGATGGACATTTGGATATTAAAGGTCGGCTCTGCTGAAAAAAGGAGTAAAAAATAATCGCATCCTTATTTTAAATATTCCGATGCGTTTAATAGAGAAGCTTTTAATTAAGAAGCAAAGGGCATCAGTATCTTCGTATAAAAGAAATTCGTTCCTATAACAGTCGGTTTTAGTAACTGTAAATGCGTTCCAATACCTTTCAAATTGGTGTATATCTCTGCACTTAAAATAAAAAGATTGATTCCCTCAATTGAATTTAGCACATTAGGAGAACTGAAGATACTCTGCTGGGCTTTCACAAATCCTCTGAACCACAACTAATTGAGTTGATGAGAAGCTTTCTGTGTAGAAATATGCGCAAGGTTTGGTTTTTTTCTGTCAATCGGCGACAAACCCTACTAATTGGATATAAATAAAAGCCCAGCCCCCGCTTCCATCATTATATCAGGCGCTGATTATTGGTATAGTAATGTAGCCGGTTAACACTACAAATATAATAATACAAATGGGAAACGCTTTATATACACTAAGTACATTATACATGCATAACTATTCGGTTTATTTAAACTATATTCATTTATATAATATGTATATATTCCATGTGTGAGAATTCTCTAATCAGTTGTGAGAAGTACTTAGCTCGAACAAGTTTTAGCAGAAACTGACACGCAAACATGATCGATACAATCGGAAACTATCTACGATCTCTTATAATCAAGCATCTCCGAAATCTGTGAAATTATATGGTTTTTATAGAGAATGAATCCAGTTTTATTAGAGCTCTTAGGACTGTTGAAACTTGATTACCTCTCTGCATGGAAGACGAGTGAAAATCCTTCTACTAACGTCTACTTATACTGATATTTTCGGTAGTAAGTAAATTTGCATAACAAACCAATTTTATAATCATGAAATATTTTGCGCGGGTATAAAAATATGACTATATGCATAACTCGAATGGACTTCCGTTGTGATAATCTCGACTTGACAATGAAAAATTTATTGGACGAAACGAAAACCAGTCGAATACTGGCGAGCGCTCTGATATGAATAAAAAGCTAATAAGGTGTCTCTGCTACTTAATATTTACCTTGCTCACTGTAAGTGTTGGTCGAGTGAAGGCATTGAAGGACAAGGATTCAGAACAGCCTTTTACAATATTCTTAGATGCTGGGAATGAAATCAGAAATGTGGTGAACAGTTTAGCTTCATATGGTAGAAAACAAGATGGCATGGAAGAGATACTAAAAAGGTGAGGAATAACAAATAAGAATATGCTTAGAACGCATATCACCACATACGGCTTATGGAGACTGAGGAAAAAATAGACTGTTTTGAATAACCTTAGATTAGAAATGACCTTAAGACAATTGTTTTAGAATTACCCAAAAATTGTGCTATTTTTAAGTGCTCTCATTTTATTATTTATTTTATAAAATTAATACATTACTTGATTAACATTCTGTAGTGCTCAGAACGTAATGGAAAAAATGGAAGAGCGATTGATGGAATTAGAAAGCACCGTTAAGGCTGCTGCGAATGTTGAAAAAATGTGAGTATTACTAAATTTTAAATTACGACTATTTGAAAAATTAACTATATACCTATTTTGGTAACTAATTTTGCCAAAGATACCGATATTAAGAGGTAATGGTGGGTTTGAACTCAGTTTTGCATCAACAAAAAAAAAAAAACGGGGTATTGCCTCTCATCAGGCAACAGCAGACGCCCGATTGTATTTCTATCTTACAAAAGTTCCTCATAGGATGCACTATCTGTTTGGGTTCGACTTATAACTTGAAGGTCCAACCATTTTCTTAAATTACTTTAAAATATACTATATACCTGAAAAATGTTGAAAAGTGGATAATGGTTTGGTATTTGAAGCAATTTACGATTTAATAGACTTCAGACATTTGATCCGTGGCAGAAAGTTCAAAATTTTGCCCGTATGTCCTCTAAGTCAACCTTAAACTGAAATCTCTACATCCAAAATCTATAAAAAAAATAGTGGAAAGACTGTTATCGATAACTTTAAATCAGGTTAACCAATCGATCGACCGTAGAGAAGTACATGAGCCTTATATTCCATTTGTCGTTGTTAAGAGATAGATAATGTAAGATTGGGAGCTTCATCTGGTTATAGGTTGGCAGACGAAGCATACAGAGCTTATAAAGCGATAAAAGCCACTCTTACCCCTCACCCAATCGTTGACAGCCAGTCCGTAATATGCAACGAAATTCAGTAGAAAAATTAAAAGGAATAAGGAACTCCTCTGCAATTTAAAGAAATAATAATAAAATCAGTATCTCAACGACAAAGCCAAATATCCATATCCATTACGCCAAGGTAATGATCTGCATTTGCTGGTATCAGAACTCCGTGCTGTATTATGAGCTTCTTAAACCCGGTGAAATCATTAATGGGGAATACTACCGACAACAACTCATCAAATTAAAGCGAGCGATTGCAGAAAAATGTCCGGAATTCGTGACTAGACACGATGCAATAATTTTCCATAATGACAACCTCGGCCTCATGTTGCAAGACCGGTTAAAACCTTTTTGGTAAACTTCGGTCCAGACTATGACTACTATATATATGTTTCGGTCGATACAGAACGCCCTCACTGTAATACGATTCACATTAGTACAGGGTATCAAAACTTGGCTTAATTCATTATCGGATTCTTGGCTGCCAAGCCATTGTAGTTCTTTTGGGATGGATGTATACTTTTGTATATTTTTTTCTCAAATAAACTTTCAAATTTTGAAGAAAAAAAACCACCCGAGTATATACATAAGTCGTTATAGACCCAATAGAAAGAACTTCTTAACCTAAACTAAATTAAGGTGTAAAAATATTATGGTAAGCTTAAGCAAGTTGTAATTAAAAAAATATTTTTTATTCTCAGAGTCGAGCCTTGTAGAAAATTATTAGAAATTCGCCTGGGCGATATAGAGAACAAGTTGAATGCCATGGAAAGTATTCAACGGAAGTAAGTGAATATGGAAGTATATGTATGTACATACTCGTATATTGTAATCTGCGGTTCTTCGTTTTAGAAACCATGCCTTAATCGAGCAGCGGTTAGATAAATTGGGATTAAATTTGAGGTCAACCCTCAGACAGCAAGGAGAGTGAGTTAAAAAAGAATTGCAATTGAAATTATGCACTTTATTTCATAATATAATACATATCAATTGCTTTGCTTTATTTTCTAAGAGACCAAACAATCAATTCCGAAATGGACATTATGGATACTATGGTGTTGGCCTTTAGGAAAAAATTTAACTGGGACCACTGACCTTCTACGCGGATTTGAAATAGACTAAATATTGTACCACATAAAGTTGAGATTAACAGATAAAAGCGATGCACCAAATTTTTTGTGCGAACTGAATCGAAGTGGATTAGGCAAAAGCCTACATAATTATATTTCTCTTTCGATGGCGTCAATATTAGATTAATATGGTCATCAGAATATGCTGTATGCACAACTACATACTTGTATATTTTCCGTATAGATTGGCTATAGGGTTAATGGAACTGCTGATGTGGACGAAAAGCAGCTTAGATACATACTATTTAAAGTAATTCCTAATGGAGATGTCGATTTGAAACGTCTTTCTGTAAGCACATGCGACATTTCCTCACGGAAACCCAACTTTTTATAGGATGAAGTTTGAGTGTAGTTCTTTAGTTCAGCCCAGTTAGCACCAACTTTCTACTTAATCGTGACCGCTGAAACTGTGTAAGCGATTTTGGCCGAGTCCACAGTAGTGTGGACTTCTAGTCAATATTTCCAATATATATGAGGGTTCTATCTTTATCTGCCAAACATCATCACTTTTAAACTGGAAGTACTGCATCTAAATGAATAACGTGTCCGACAGATCTCTCTCTCTCTTAGTAACATTAAGAACCGCCTCACCTCGTTTTGTCGTAGTAAGTAAAGTCGGGGATGGTCGACGAAATTCAAGTCTAAGTCTGGATTTTTGCTTTTGAGGACATAAATTAAACATCATTGTGTCATATGATGAGCATTTTGTTTTTCCGATTTCTCATCATTTTTTGCAGATTAACCGCCTTTATGTATCTCTTTTTCTGAACTCAATAAAGTGAATGCTTCAGGCGCTGAATTATTTTTCAGGGAAGCTAACTTTAAACTAGAGGATAAATGCCATAAAACGAATTGTCCGCAACCAGGAGTTTATCGTGATTGTGCCGAGGCGAAGCAGCAGCTTGGATCTTATTATAATGACGGAATTTTTGAAATAAGCTTACCAAACTTTCAACCGTTCAACGTGTACTGTAGGAGTGAATGTACCACTTGTTGCCCTTGGACTTTAATAATGCGCGGCAGTGAGCGGAGTACAGAAAACATATATCATAGGAGTTGGCTTGACTACAAGCACGGTTTTGGAAGTGCAAGCAAGGACTATTTCATTGGTTTAGATCGTTTGTATGTGTTGACAAAGCAAGTTCCACAAGCTCTGTTAGTTCGCGACTATGCTGTAGGAACTGAAAATATTTTTAAGGAGTTCGGTATTACAGATGAGCGATACGATTATGCTGTGGATAATTTAGTTAGTTTAATGATGCCGTCTTGGGGGTATAACGTTATGTCAAATGGCAAGGGTGATACATTTTCAAGTAATAGTGTGTGCTCGAACGTGCGTGGTCGCAGTTGGTGGTATAACCAAGAATGTGTCGCCAGCTTCGGAACTGAGTATATTTGCTGAGTTATTAATTGAGTTTGATGCAAATGGATTAATATTTAATTTTTTACATCTCCTTTTCTGAAAACATCATTATGGCGATTCGCCCCAAGGCGTGCCAGGAAAATTAATTATTACCGAAATTATGTATTATTTTATATTCTAACTAAATAAAATTAATCTAAATCAAGAAAAAATGTTAACTTCGATTACACTGAAACTATAATACCCTTCTTATATAAGAAAATTTCCATACAAGATCATGATTTCGATCGCTCAATTTGTACTAGAGCTATAGTGGTACTATCTGAATAATTTGTTTTGAGACTTTACCGCTGCCTTCGACAATAACCGATGCCATATCTCGTAAAGATATCTCGTCAAATGAAATGTTTTCCATACAAACACACAAGATTTGGATCGTACGCTTTGTATGGCAACTGTTCTATGTATGCTTTAATGGTTCGATATCGGCATTTGCGCCAAATTGGTAGATTCTTGCGGTAAAAAGGACGTGTACAAAATTTCGATAAAAAATATCTCATAATTATTGTTACTAAATACAAATCTAATTAAATTTAGTTATATGAGAAAAACTATACCTATGGCAATACTTTATGAAATTATCCCAAAGAAGAATATTTCTGACACATCTTTAGTTTGCAAAAAATCACTTTTAATCTATAAAATAGGTAAAATATTACACATTGGTTAGAAAGGTAAATGGATGGCAACGTCGGAATTCATGCAAGAAGATTTTTTTTATGAATTGTAAAGTCGATGATGAGCAGAAATTGCTTTGCACGCCTTGTCAGCTCATGGAGTCGATCCGAACCGATGAAATAGTCGGTACTCGCATTTCCAAAGCCAACTTTAAAGTCATTGTAGCTTATTTTAAAAGTGCCTTTCGCGCTCTCATGATTGCGTACCACCACGGTCCACGTGCAGCATCTTGTTGAGTTGCTCGGTTAGCATTTTGTCACACAAGTTGCATTCATTGATTGGAATCCCGGGAGGTGTAGTTCGTATATGCCGTCTCTATATTCTTCACCGAGGTAGTATTTTGCTTTTGCACAGTCGCTTATGATAGGTGGCAGTACCCTATGTGGGGATGTTGCTGTACAGTTCAACTTTCTATGCAAACTGTGAAAAGTAGAGAATAAGTTTTATTTTGATTTTTACTAAATTTATGTTACCTACTAGAAATCAATAAATATCTGGTATTAAAAATACATAGCAGTCGCCTTATCTTTTGCGAAACCTTATAGTAATAACTAAAGTAGGAGTCTCGAATTACTACTTCAGTGATAGCTACAGATGGAAGAAAGCAGCAATTGCTGGTCCAATCTTTTGATCTCATCTGATTGAGATGAGAACGGCTGACACTTGTTCCAGCAGTAAAAGAAATATCTGGGGTATAGTGTGAAAAATAGTAATGTTAACGAATTGCGGGGTTTTGTAAATACGGCGTTATAACTTTTCTCTTCTGACCCCTTTTGGTTAAACGCTCATAAAATCAAAAGCCGCGATATATGGGAAATAGTCTTTTTTTCTGAAGTAACAATAATTAGTTTGATTGCACCAGATGGAAAGTCCTATGCTCACTGCAAAAAAAAAAACTAACCTTACGTGGCCAGTAGTACACGTTGGGCATAACTTGTAGGATTGTGGAGTTTTGAAAATAAAAGCTTTTCTACAAAGTTCGAATTCGACATGAGTGTTTTATTTGCACTCGTCGATTTTTGACTGGCAAGTTAATGTCGCTTCTTTTCAGGTCAGCGCTTTGTAGAAAAGTACACATTTTTCTATAACTCTATAGCGATTACTTTTACCTTTTTGAAGTATCCTGAAGAAGATTGTTTGGCAGATATGATCTTACATTGTTTCCTCGATTAACTTCATCAGCTCTACTTGCTTCAGTTGTATTTAAAAGAATTGCGAAAACACACAAGCGCTATAATGCCTTTGGATTTTATTACTCTTTACTTTTGAACTATGACTTCTTTGAAATACTGGTAGCTATAGATAAGAGGAAGCTCTTATTTATGGTTTCATACTCGAGTTATCAAGGATGCAAAATTGTTGATGTGGTCAACTCAGATATGTGTGTATGTTATAAATGTTTTAGTCAAGGAGGGCTTAGTTGTCATTATTACTTGCATCGAGTTCCTCAGACTTAAGTGAGTATCTCACATTAGCGGATTCTTTGGAAAGTTTGAAACCTATATCCTGCAATGAATACAATAAATGAACGGATCAGAGCTATGTTATTCTCATGAGGTATATACTTAAATTTATCATTTGGATCTATTTGTTATCAGTAAGGTTCTAACATGTCAATCTTCAGCATCCATTCAAGTGGAGATGCTAAATAATTTGCCGGAACCCAATTATAGTTATCTGGAAGGAGAAGAGGTAGAATAAGCCCAGCACTGGACTGCCCAACATTGCAAGACTAAGTTTGAAACATCTTGGACATCATATCACCCGTTTTACAGGCGAATTAGGTGGAATCGAAATGTGATGTGCTCAAATATATGGGTTTTGGTCAATCTCTATGTGTTTGCTGATATCACAAAAGTTTAGTTAACAATTGTCCAAGAGTGGTTAGCCTCAATACCTCTCTAACTAATAAGCTATTGTCATATATATAAATATCTAGATCATAGTTGCTTTAGATTATTAAAACCGAAAAAGCCCTTGAAACAAAAGCGATTGATAAGCCCTTATCTCATCATTTCTTCGAGTATCTTTTGGTGTTCACACAGTTCTACAGCAAATATCATCTTTGAAAAAAAATTTATTACATATTTTTATTTGTAGTGTCAAGTTTCATGGTGATTTCTATTTATCGTACAGAAACCTAAATTTTGCAATTCGCTGTGTATTTGATCTCTCAATCTAAAGCTTTTCTATCAACCATAATACCAAAGATACCTCCCGTTTACTTTAGATCCAATATTTCGGTCAATATGTGTTTTTAACAAAAATGTTCGATCTCGGTTAAGACCTTTCACTAGCTGACGCCGACCCACCATAATTATTTTCGTGTCTTTGATTGGCTATAATTCTTATATATCGGCCAGTGAAGGAGATGTTGTTGATTTGATACCAAAGTGAGACCTAATTTCGGTACTAAAATCTAGTGCAGCAAATTCACATTTTCGCCTTATAACTGTATGTATACTTTGAACAGGGTATATTAAGTTTGTCACGAAGTTTGTAACAACCAGAAGAAAACGTCGGATACCCTATAAAATATATATTTATGCATAAATTATCAGCATGACGAGCTGAGGCGATTTAGTCTTGCCCGTTTGTCTGTATATACGCGAACCTCAGTTTTTGAGATATCCATCTGAAATTGTGCTTGGGTCCACGTACCAAGAAGCTGCTCATTTGTCGGAACCGGCGACATAGCTGCTATACAAACTGAAAAATCGATATCAATTGATTGTATGGTAAACTTTTTTATTTAAGAAACTATTTTCTTGAAATTTGGCATGGGTTATTAGCTAAGGCACGTTCCGATCGGATCGCTACAGTATATAGCTGCCATACAAATTAACCAATCGAAATCAAGTACTTGTATGGTAAACTTTTGCATTTGACGAAGGTTCTGTATAGTTTTTTCTCACCGTGTACCCATACACTAAAGCTTTTCATTCATAAGTGGAGAGCTTTCTGCATGAAAATATACTATATACCATATATGGTATACTCGTATACCGATTTCAGAGACTTCAAAATAACGAAAGCTTGTAATGCGCGCGTCTACACAGGCTGTCTTTTGGCCGTGAAAATGCCAAAGCTTCCGCCACATGAATAACGAGAGCAAAACAAAATGCAATAATCGAAAGTGAAGCAAAAAGGGCTTTAAGTGATTAAAATGTGTATGGGTATAACGCCGCGGGCAGCTGTTTGCAGCTGAATATACTTATATATATTATATATACTTATATATATAATATGTGAACTTGGCTAGATTTCTTTGCCAGAAGCATCTTATAGCCCTTGCGTTGAGTTGAGCGGCATCAGAAGGTGTGTTAATCACTGGTAACAGCTGCTTTTTAATGTGTATGTGTGAGTGCGCCTATGAACTTCAGTATCCAGTGCTGTATACGTACATATATGTATATGTATATGTATGTGTGTATGTGTAGATTATCAGCGGCAGCTATCTGTGGTATCTACACATTGCTGCAGCTCGGCTGCCACAGCGCGTCATGGCTCAGTTGCGTGTGGACGCACCACGGATGTGGACAAGAATTCCAGCATTTGGCGCTTAAATGCCGTAAAGTACGCGTTTTTAACCTTAGTGCACTTGCAATTTGTACATTTGTGTATTTGTAAATAATTTTCGAGCGCTATTTTATAAAAAAAATTATGATTTGGAGCTTCAAAGTGAACACACTGATAATAAAAATAAAAAAATTATTATATGCAGCGCGAATAACAAGTACTTAGTTAGCTAATAACGGCACGTTTGCTACATATAATAAAAAAATCGCAAGTATATAAGACAACTGCAGCGCTGAAAGCAAAGCTACGGAAATAAAAATCACATATCTTCCCTTGGTTACTTAAAAATATCACATGCGATAAAATTATAAACTATAAACCGACAAAAATAAGTAAAGTCGTTACTACCCTTCAAAAACAGTGAAATTATCAAACGGCGTCATCACAAGCGCGTCAGCAGGTAAGTGTCCTTGTCGATACGTTAAACTACATACCTATAGTATATCTATACATATACTCGTATGTATAGGTAAATACGAACAGCACCGGCTGCTACGAGTACCAAAAAGTCAGCAGAGGCAGCGTATTGCAACTGATTGGCGTGCTGCAGATAGCAGTTAGCTTTCTGATACACATTTTTTGGAGTGAAACATGAAGGTCATCTTCTCGTTAAAAAGCCTTCCTGCGTACACAAATATACATATGTGTGTATGTATGTATGTATGTACAATATATATGGATATATAGTGGTATATAAAAAGTAAATAAAAATCGGTGTGTGTAAAAATTTGACTACTTCCAAGACGGGTTCACCAGTTTTAACATGTTATTGTTGGTTAAAGTTTTTGCACCTACAACACCCATTTTTGGTACTAAATAAAAGTATGGGAATAAAAATATTCTCGCTTAGTTTTATACATACAACATATAGAGGTTGTGGTTCGCATACGATGCTATATCCAAAAATTTAGATTTGTTATATAGATAAGGTTTGCCATGATTTTGGGCAAATGACGGCCATACCGTTCCCCATTGACTAACAATAAGGCCGCTTTCATTTCTGAAGAAATGTGCCCATAGAGCCCACCAAACAGTAACTTTTTGGGGATGTAACGGCGTCTCAACAATGTTTTATGGATTTTCATCACTCCAACTGCGACAATTTTGTTTATTAACGCAGCCATTCAAATAAAATTGAGCTTCATTGGTGAATAAAATTTACTTGTGAAAATCCTGCATCGGTGGCCATTTCGTTTTAGGCCCATTCACTAAATGTGCGACTCACTTGATGATCGTTCGTTTAAATTATTGTGCGACTTGGATTTTGTAAGTCCGCAAACCAAGATCTTTTCGCAAAATCTTCCATAAACTGAATGGTCACAGATTCAATTGTTGCACGCGATAATGGATGGACTCATTCAGGTCTTCTTCGATAATCAGCTTCACAACAACTATAGCGTCTGCGAGGATGCACTTTTTCTCTTAGTGTAAACGTGGTGCTAAACCGATCCATTGTTGCTCGAATTGTTTACTTTGCTGCGCGATTATATTGATCGAATATTGAGCGCAGCGCGCGAACCTCAAGAAGTTGCTCATTTTTCGGAATCTCCGATATACTTGTACTTGTAGGACAACTATTGCATATAGTTGCCACACAAACTGATCGATCAAACTTAAGTCCTTGTATGGAAAATTTTTTTAATTAAGAAGGTGTCATCAGGAAGTGAACGAATATATTTACTATTCTTCGAAAAATTAATATATTTACTATTCTTCGGTAAAAATTATCTAATTATGGTTCAATATTGGTTCAGCAATTATAATCTATTTCAAGCACCTGTTTCTGTAAACAATTTGATGGAAACCAGACAGAAAAGTTTCAAGGCGAGTTAACTAGATTTAAAAGCATGTGAGTCCGTGCAAGTCTAGCACCAGAATAGATTTATCTGCTCATATATTTCTAATGGTAAATGTTATATATAAAAATAATGTAACAAAAATAGTTTCTTTAAAGACTATACAGTATAATACATACTATATATGCATGTATGTATGTAATTATTTTGCCTTTTATTGTGCATATGCGAGGTCGACACGCCTATTAATGTACAAATAATCAACTGATACCTCCAGTCGATCAGTTACCGACTACGTAATCCATCATATAACTGTAACTATTATAACGTTAAAGCTGTCAACTGGTAATTACCGTCACTTTTAATCCGTGTTGATCAAATGCGTAAAAGTTTCAATTGTTTAGACACATTGGCAGCACGCCAACTCTTTTCAATGTTTATTATTACTATATTCCTTCTCCGTATTCAACATGTGTTAATATATACATACATATGTGACGTTTGTGTTGCTGTGGTATTAATATTGGATTGGGAATTGCTTAGTCGTAAAAATTCAAGTTCAAGTATAAAGCTTTTTTTGACTCAAGCTTCCGCTTTTGGAATGTGAATATTTACAATCTAAAAATGGCGCTGATTAAAAGAACACTTTGATTTGGGAATTTTTAGAATTTTTTTTCACATTAAGGAGTAGAAAAGGAATTGGAAACATTCCACTTCAAGATAGGGAATTGAAATTCGAATCATCCTTTTTTAAGTTAAGGTTTAGCAAAATATTTGTAATAAGCCGTATTAATTTGTAATTTGGTACCACCTCGCTTGCTGGAATGCTAAGGCTTTCTAAGATATTTTACTTACGTATTTTCTGGCTCAGCATTTTTATGACAGGCTTAAATCGCTCTGTCGATACCTGAATATATTTATTAGTAGAGTCGTATCTAGAAGTTTTTAGCACCACAAAGGATCGGTACACAACAAACTTTTTCGCTATATAAGGCGCTAATAAAATCAAGGAATCCACTTAAAGAAGTATGTTTAACGAAAACAAATATGGAAAGAAAAAAATAATCAAGATTATTAGATTATAGATAGATTTGAGATACGAAATTAGTTCAGTAAAAAAAAACTAAAAAAGTTAGCTATTCGAATGGAAACCATCGAGTTAGTTAGAGACAGTTAGAGACAACATTTTCATTCCTGTTTTTTCTTAACCAATCAAGGTGACGGCAAAATCCAACAATCGAAATTAAAAAATCCTTTGAACAGGTACTTACTAATTTTTCATCTGATGGTTTGATAATATATGTACATATGTTGGACTATACCAAGGAATAAGGTAATAATTTTTTTAATATTACACATAAAAAAAATATTATTCTAAAAATTTAATTTTTAAAAGTTTTTTTTACAATAAGGAAAAATCTTCTTCTATGCAGCGGAATGTAAATTGCCTTTGCTAATCTTTAACTGTAATGAAACCATGAAATACTTACCACATCTTGGCCGCTCTTTCAGCGGTATCGTTATCTGCTCTTAGCGCTGAAACCTTATTCTTGGTATCTTGAAACGAAGCCTTATTTGGCCATAAAGGCGATTCTCTGGTCAGAAAATTATACTACTATATAAACTATCATCAATTCGAAGCTGTGTGAACAACACTTGCATTTTGACTGATAGGAACTCCTACTAGTTGTTTTATCTGTAAAAGTGAAAGAAAATTATTATTATATATATATTATTATTATTTAAAAACAAGTAAGGAAGGGCTAAGTTCGGATGTAACCGAACATTTTATACTCTCGCAAAGAAAAAATGGTATACTCGTTTGAGATTTCTTTGTGGATTGACTGATATTTTCGGTAGAAGGTCAACTATAGTTGACATACATATTTAGTACTTAGGGCTTAAACAGTTTTGGTTCGATTTAGACAATTTAGGCCACAAGGTGGCATACTTTAATCGCATTATTCACGCAAAATTTTATCCCGATACAGTCATTGCTGCCTGATTTGCATAGTGGAAAGTGAAAGAATCAAGTGGAATTTAAAATGGTGTTATATGGGGAGTGGGCGGAGTTGCAACCCGATTTCAACTATTTTCACACCGTCAATAGAAGGTTTAGGAGATATGCACATTAAACCTATTAGAGGCGGGACAGATGCCCCTCCCTAATGTGATCCTGTGTACCAAATAACAGTCTTATTGCGGAGCTTAGTTATGGCAATTTATTTGTTTTTGATTAATGGCGTTTTGTGGGCGTGGCAGTGGTCCGATTACGCCCATCTGCAATACCAACCGTCTCACGGTACCAAGAAGCATGTCTACCAAGTTCCATAAAGATATCTCATTTTTTACTCAAGTTAGAGCTTGCACGGACGGACAGACAGTCACCCGGACTTCAACTCGTCTCTTCATCCTGATCATTTATATATATATAACCCTATATCTAACTCGATTAGTTTTAGGTGATACAAATAACCGTTAGGTGAACAGAACTATTATACTCTGTAGCAACAGGTTGCGAGAGTATAAAAAGGAATATGAAAAAAACTACAATATATTTATTAATGAAACTTACTAAACAATGAAACAAAGAGTTCATCTTTATGTGGAATATAGCGTTTGCCTTGGGTTGGCGGATTTTTTCGAGCTTAATTTTTAACCTTCTTCTTGTTCTTCTTGTTGTTCGCCATCAAATAACAATACAGCTGTTTCAACGATTAAAGACTCATTTTCTATAAAGCAGCTTTCGAGATCGTTCTACCGATTTTTTCATAAGTCTTCTTTAACTTTAAACTGCATAAATCTTTATAAGGTGCTTTTACAACCAAAATACATATGAGCCATGGCTTAACAGAGGATGTCACGATGAAGCAAATATTAAACAGTGTCGTCTTATCCTTGTTCGTCTTTTTCAGTTGAGCGCTGTGAAGTTTTATTTTCAGTGCATCATTTATCGGCAAGGGTTGTCGTAATCCTATCTACACCAAATTTAGTTTCCCAGTGTTTCGACATGATTTAAACAAATTAAGAGGTTATGCGTAAAAAAAAACTTGAATTGTTTTGGAACACCCTAATGTATACATATGTATATATGGGGTATAATGTTTCGAGTGATAGTGTGACTCGAACTTGACAGAAAAATGTAGATCAATAAGAAGACAAGTTAAGTAACGTAACGATTTTGAAAGAAATAATACACTACATCTTTATATTTATGTACATACTTATACTCGTAAATGTAATGTAAGTAATTATACAAGAAACTTGTAAACAATGCCGGCCATCACCAAGGGTGTATGCTATTTGTATTGAATATGTCAAACAAACTACAACGCTTGCAAGTTCAAGCCTAGCTTAACACATACTACACATTGGTATATATGTACATACCTACCTTTGCTTGGAAGCGTATTTCATGCAACGTTTAGTCGTTTGGGAACGTGTCAATGACAGCTTTGGCTTCAACGAATAGCCGCCGACATTTAACTGACGGCAATTTATAATGGATTTCGACGGAGATGCTCACGTTTTGTGGAATTGGAGTGTTGAGTATGGACGCCGTAGTTGATTAAAAGGCTGAGAAAGAAAATGCCTCATAAAGAGG